AGGGAGAGCAGGGAGCCCACTGTCACCTTCTTTAGAAGCCCAGCAAAGACTGGGCAGGATGAGCTATGAGGAGCTGCCCAGAGGGCCACCAGATGAAAAAGGGAGGAGGAGGTGGGGCTCCCAGTAAAATCCCCACCTCAGAACCCACTTCCCGCAGCCAGGCCCCTGAAGGCACCTGCCAGCTCTTTGCTGATCCAGTCACTGACATTGACTCCTGCCACCTGGTCAGTACCTACACTAAGTGTCCTGCTGAAAAGTGAGATGGCCTTGGGCACAAAAGAAGTAACCGCAGAGGCTGTGGTCAAACTCAGGCCAGATAGAGTGCTGATGAGTCAGTACTCTGCCTTTCTAACAACCAGAGGCTCCTGGGGCCACACCCTCACGAAGTAAGGGGCAGTCCCCAAAGGCAAGGCTCACGAGTGGCTCTTCAGGACTAGCCAGAGTCCACCTGACAGCAGGTGGGAGACCAAAAGGTGGACATAATCTGAAAATGTCGTGTGGAGGGCTTAAATGGATGTTCAGAGAAAGTTCCTATAAAAAGGACAAGCTTTAGGACACATACCTCCCTCCCTTGGAGGCTGGAGAGACACAGGGCAGGTCTGCCCTCTTCCCCACTGTTCTCTTTTGGGCCACTGTGAAAACACCATCAGCTGGGCTCTCGAACAGCACTCAGGGGTTCTTCAAAATTCAGTTAATAATGAGTGTTTTATGAGTTTCAATGCGCCATCAGTTAAAGACCACTCTTCAGGGCGAGAGCACAGCTGCTACCAGTTTAAAATGAGCCCATATCAAAGACCTAACTAACTCCTTGCTTAGCACGGGAACCAACCAGATGTGAAATTCTGAAGAGCAGGCCCACACCTGACCACCCGTGAAGAAGTGCATGTGATGAAGCTGTGAAGCTGAGAGGACACTGCAGAAGGGGCAGGCATCATCCACACCTCGTGCACTAGAACCTTCTGCCTTGCTCTCCGGTTTTCAGTTTACAGGGTTGTCAGGCAACTCAGCCAGTGAAAGGTGGGGACTGTCCCAGGAGGAGGACACATCCAGGATCCCCTACCTCAAAGTGTCAGCCAGCTTCTCCTAACATTATCAAAAGCTCAGCCAGCCACAGGGCTTCAGGAAGCTCTGTGCCCCAGGCAGCATCCTGCCACAGCTGGAGAGGCTGTGGCAGCCCTTGGCACCTCACAGGGTGAACCTTACCTGTGGTCCTGGAAAACAATTATGAAATCCCTGCCTTCAGCACTAGCCAAGCACTCCCCTTCCCTGCCCGACCTACGGAAGGTTACCAGTGTCCTTGACCCCCCTCCACTGGGCCACGCTTGGCAGGCCATCCAAATCCCTACTCTCTGCCCACAAAGCACTGGCTCAACTTGGGTCACTACTGACCAAGTGGGGCAGAGGCCCAGATACATGATTGACTGGAGAGAAGCTTCTCTACCAGCAGCCCCGGCCTGCCTGGCTTCTGGATCAGGCCTTCGACCTATTGATTTACTGTGGAGCTGCCACACTTCCATCCTGAGCCACTGCTCACAAGAGAAAAGCCTTTCTGGCCTGACCTGTGAGACACTTGCAGAACTCCCGGTCCAGCTGTCCCATCACACTACTCAGTTCCTCTTGGGCTGCTGTCCTATTGAATACAACCCCTCCCAAGCCCAGTACCAGGATCCCCACTGGTTCTTCATCTATAGGACCCGTGTGTGGAAAATGACAGCATGGGCAGCCACAGCTGTAGGCAGTGCCACAGATGGGAAGGAAGGGCAGGATGGGTTTCAAAGATCAAACTCAAGTCTTTATGGCAGCATGCCCAGCAGCCCGGCCCCAGCCTAGCCTCCAGCTCCCAAAGCACCTTCCAAACTTGCGTGGCATGAGGCCCCACAGGCTCCTGGGAGCACAGCCTTCTTTACCCAGAGAAAACTCTCAGCTCTGGGTCATGATCTCACTGAGAGCCAGAGAGATTCAAGCCCCCCTCTGGAAGGACACATGCATACTCCCCTCAATTTGCAGCATCTCTAAGCCATAACCTTTGTGGGCCACAGTGATCACCTGGCAGGAACCCAGCAGATGCGGGGTGGGCTGGACTTAGATTGACCCAGCTGAAGAAAGGCCAGAGAGAACAGTCAGCGATGTAGGTGCAGTCTCCAGGTGCGGGTGATAGGAGGTAGGGGAGGAGATAAGTGGCAGGAGTGACCCTGCTACTCTGTCCTACTGCATTCTCCACTCATTCCAAACCACCAAAAAGCCAGTTCTCCACAGCTGGCTACCTCTGTGCTTGGGTCACCTCCCAGCAAGGTAAGTACAGCACGTGACCTTCAGAGCAAGGTGGGTGCATCCTGTTCCGCCAAGGGCCAGCAACCAGTACAGGAAGTGACCTGGGGACTATCCCAACCAGTCCAACCTGCTCTTCTTCAAGGCTCCTCCAGAAAACTCTGGCAGGTTCTAGACTCCAGGACCATGCTCCAATAAAATTGAAGAGATTTTTCATTTCAGTGCTAGGGCTGGAGCCCAGAGCCTCATGCATGCTAGGTGAGCGCTCTATCACTGAGCTACATCCCAGCCCTTGAAATACACTTTCTGAAAGTCAGAGCTTTAGGTCCCTCAGATTCTTGGGGCTTCTTGGGCTACTCAGATTGGTGAGTCGTAATTCAGATGCACTGGGGTGAGGATGGTCCTGGGAAACCCCGCCTGCCCTCCAGGGTGGGAACCAAGCTTATTATGAGAGACACCACACCATCAGCATTTCAACCCAGCTTGTTAGCCATGCCAGCATTCCTAAGACAGCCTGGGCAGAGCCCAGTCCCACCTCACCACCCAGCACCTTTATAAGAGGCCAGCTGCAAAGAAAGGCACCTTGCTTAGAGGAAGAGGTGAAACAGTTATCACAGGTAATTCCAGAAGGGCTCACAGGCATAACTGTGGAAACTAAAATCAGGAAAATATGCTTCGGTAGAAAACACCTTGTCCAGGCCACATGTTCTCACACCGTCCACAAGGTCCACATGAATGTGAGCATTGTGTATTATAGGAGCACACCACAAATATATAGTTTCACTTGTCATCTTAAAAACTCTTATTATTCAAAGATATCATCAGGAGGGCAGGGGATATAGCTCAGTTGGTAGATTGCTTGCCTTATATACACGAGACCCTCTGTTCAATCCCCAGCACCACCCAAAAAAAAAAAAAAAAAGATTTCATCAGGGATTGCTTCTTAGCCTTTGGCTTAAGGTCATGTGCAAATGTTTCATTGGGGGCTAGTTAGGGAAAGAACAGTCTAAAAAGTTAAATTCTTCAGGGGCAACAGGACAAAGGTGAAAAATTCCAGTCTAGACTTGCTGGTCTAGCCATGCTAAGGGCAGCACTTCACCACCCACTTCGGAGTTCTGGTCCCAGCTCTTCCCTATTTGACTGTCAGTTTATGCTACCAGCCTGCCATTGAACAGGTTGTAAGGCCTGCAGGGTTCCTGAGTGAACCAATGAGCCAAAGCACTTGTTTACTTCTATCCACAGGAGAGTCACATTACCTTTAAAAATCATCTTTTTCCTCATTTTTTTTATTGTGATACAACACACATAATAAACTTGCCACCTGCCTCATTTCTGCACACACACTTCAGGGATGCACTCTGTATTACTGCTTAATCAGCTTTAGGGCACTAGCCAGGCGGCCAGTGAGCAAAGAGGCGCTGTGAGCTCTGGAGGAGTGGGGGATGGAGAAGCACCAAGGGTAAAGTGCAGAAGGGGAAGGGCAGGAACCCCAGGTACACAGGGACCTGCTCAGAGGGTCAAGGGTGTGACCCCACCCAACACATCCAGGAGTGGCCTGGGCACCCTCTCTGGGCTTCTGGGAGCAGAGTGCTGATCTGCGCCATCTTTCTAAAGGGCTCTGATCTAACTTCAGAGGTGGAAGGTGGCTATCTTCCCCAGCTTCTGGGCGCACAGGTGGCTTCGCAAGGGGCCTGCCAGCTGGCTGCACTAAGAACACCCGATTTCACTCCTCTGCGGTCTGTAGCAGATTCCCCCCAATGGGAGGGAGGAAAATCAGTTATCAGAATTTGTTCAGGGCTTGTAACTTAGAGCATTTCCAAAAGTCACCAGTACTTTGACTTTTTTAGGCATTTTTTTATTTTCTCTGGAATAAGAAATTATAATAAATGCCTGGAATGCCTCCGTTTTCTTAGAAGTGGCCTGGCTTTGCAGACTCCAGAACTTCTGAGAGTGCAAACTCCGAGGTCTCCAGAGGGCCGCACCCACCCCAGCCAGGCAGGAGACCTCATGGCGCCCCCGTCCTCCCGCCGGCACAAGTGCGGGCCGGCCTCGCTTCCTGGAGACTGAGACTCGCCCCTGCCACTCGCCGAAGTGCACGCGGCAGGCGCGTCTCTAGTCCTCGCCGTCCGCTCCCGCAGCGGTGTGGGGGCAGCGGCTCGGCCCAGGACCGCCGCGGAATCGCAGGCGAGAGGAAGCGGACTTCGAGAGTGCGGGAATCCCGGAAAGGGAGCCGCGGGCGCGAGGCCAAGCGTGTCAGGGCAGTGGCCGGGAGGAAGGGGGGCGGGGGGATTGTCGCGCGCGGGCAGGTCCGAGGGGCCAGGACCAGGCCGGGCGGGGACGCACCTCCTTGTCTGGGACCCACTGCGGTTCCTCCAGGCCGAAGGGGCTTCCGAAGGCGCGGTGCTCGGGCACCATGCGCAGGCCGCTTGGGGAGCGCACCAGCTTCTTGGCGTCGTGGCGCGCGGCCACCCCGGAGGACATGTCTCCAACTCGGATCCTAACGCCGCTGCTTGCGCTCGGCCCCGCACCAGCTGGGCAGAGCTGGACAGCACCGCCCCGCCCGCGCGGGCTGACAACGCTGGCGCCCAATCGCTAAGCCTGGCCCAGAGCGCAGGCCAATCGGAGTCAGGGATCCGCCCATAGCAATTCTCTCCAGTCCGCGCAGGGGCCCCACCTCTGCCACCCTGCGGGCGGCCACCAATCGGCGACGAGGGCCGACCCTGGATCGCTCCGCCCCTTTCCGGGCGATTGAGACTTTTGACTGGTCGGTCACATAGGCGCGTCTTCGTGTCTGATTGGTGTGGCCGGCTCAAAGAGCTCTGCGCTCATTGAAAGAGAAGGCTGAGGGGGCGGACCGGCGCGAAGAGGCGTGAGGAGCGCGGGATTGGTGAGAGCCGGGGCAGTGGGCTGCGATCGCTGCCCCGCGGCCGAGGTGACCTGAGAGGTGCCGGGCAGGCCTCCGCGGTTTCCGGAGTTGGTTGGCGAGTGGGCGCGCGGAGTCCTGGGGCTGAGGAGAGAAGGGGCCCCGGGGCCCGCTCCGCGGTTCCCAGGACCTGCCGGGGGGAGGGTGTCCGCGGCCGGGTGTGTTATGGACGCGCGGAGATCGCAGGAGCCGGAGGCCAGGCCCGGGTTGCTGCAGCTCCCGCGCTCGGAACGGACCCGGGAGCCTGACTCCCAGGCCAGCCGCAGCGTGACTGTGGCCGTGTGAGCTAACCGTATGACTGGACCCCTCTGCGCTCTCGTTTCTTCTTCATCGAAACGGAGAGCCTCCATCCTTGTTGTGAGGCTTGTGTAAGTTGACCCGGGCCTGGGGCTTCCAGCAGCCCTGGGAACATCCCAAGTGTTGGATAAATGTGAGCGCTCAGCTTTGTTACCCTTGGTGGGTTTTATGGAGATGTCAGTGGACTTGACTGAATTTAGCTCTGAACTTAAACAATAGAAAGAAAAATAACAGTTCCAGTCTTGAAGGTCGTGCTGCCCCCGGCAAGTGTGACCGAGCATGGTGGCACCCCTCCATGCACACTCTCTGGTTTCTTTGGGTAACAGTACCTCCTGTGCAGTACTTACCCTGGAGATTAAAGCTCAGCTGGACACTCTGGAAGACAAAAGTGGGGCTGTCAGACACAGCAGATGTTCGGCATTAAAAATGTTTTTCAATGGCACTTGTTAAAGCCCAAGGACCATCACTGTCTATCCAGGAACCAGAGTAGTGGGTTTGTAGTGAGAGAGACAGACAAGGCTCACCTGGAACACATGGGCAGGTGGGGTCAGAGGGTGGAAAGTTACCAAGAGGAGGTGTCAGGGGACCCGGGAGCCCCCACCTGGGTGGTGGAGGATGAGGAGCCTGGTGGCCGTGGGGACTGGATGTGGAGAGTGGGGTTCCCACTACACTGAGCAGGGACCTCACTGACACCTGGTTTCACCAGCATGAGTCCAGGTGGGGCTGGAGAGGACTCAGGATCCTGGAAAGATTAGCCAAGTGGGGCCAGGTGTGACTTGGTTGCCTCGAATGCTAGTGGCCCTGGGTTTGATATCCAGGCACAGCAAAGAAAAAAGACCAAGTGGAGGGTCTTGATGAATAACCAGCCTGCTTCCAGATGCCCTGCCCCCTTGAAGGCTCCAGGTGCAGGGTCCTCTGTGGGCCTTTCTGTGCTGCCTGGTGTCCAGCCCAGCCTGAGGCAGCAGCCTCCTGCCAACCCCAGGCCGGTGTCCCAGGAGCTTTCCACACATAGACCCTCGGAGCTCTGGCAGTAAGACAGATTGGCTGTTGTTCTGGAGGCTGTCTTTACCTCTGGTGTATGCCCTGGGGTCCCTGCCAGTTCGCACCCCACTTTGGTTCACACCCTAACCCTCTACCCAACTTCAGGGCTCTCAAATTCCCATATTCTCAAAGGGATGCTCCTGCCTTGCCACATGAGGCCCAGCCAGGTTTCTGATCACCAGGTGCCTTCTGGAGATGTCCCTCCTCCACTTTTCTCTGCTTCGGAGTCTAACTCCCCCATGCCAGCTACCAGCTCTGTCAGCAGCCCTTGAGCTGCTTTGAATCCCCATCACCCGCTTCTCGGCTGCTTCCTTTAGAACATGTATCCCAGTATTTTTTTTTTTTTAAGAGAGAGGGAGACAGAGAGAGAGCGATTTTTTTAAAATTTATTTTCTAATTTTCGAAGGAAACAACAAATTTGTTTTGATGTGGTGCTGAGGATCGAACCCGGGCCGCACGCATGCCAGGCGAGCGCGCTACCGCTTGAGCCACATCCCCAGCCCTATATCCCAGTATTAATGCTGTGGTTCTCTGTAGCTGCTAAGCCAGCTTCAGCTCAGATCCACGTCCATTGTCTCTTGACCACCCTGAGTGGGCCTGGGAGCTCTGTGTGTCTGCTGTCCAGCTGGGCAGTACTATCAGCCCAGCGCCAAGAGCCTCCCCGTGTGTTGCCCCAGGCCACAGGAGGGAACGGTCAGGAGCTGACTTGGAAGGCCCACAGGTTCTGGGCCCCAGGAGCCTTGTGACCCCATCAGGAAGTGTGTCCTCCAGCCACTGCTTCCTGCTGCCCAGCAGCTGCCTCCCGGGTGCTGTGGTGGGCGAGGAGCAGTTGTGCCTGGGTCTTCACCCAGGCTGGAGCTGAGTCTGAACTGTGACTGTTCTTGGCTTCTCGGTCCTGCTCCAGCCTGGGAGGATGCAGAAGGTCACACCCTGAGTCCATGAGGGAAGCCTCATCCACTGCTGCCCACTTCCCCTGGTAGACCTAACCCCCAAATGCTGGGCTCGTCCAGGTCACTGGCCTCAAGTCTGTAAGACCAAACACTTCCCAGCACCCCATGTACATTCCTGACCTTGCTGTGGGGAGGCCACCAGGGAGGACAGCAGCTTGTTGGAAAGGGCTGAGTCCCTGCACAGCCGTCCCACGCCAGAGGGCAGGAAAGCCTTCTGTGGCCGCCACTGGTGCTCCTTCTTTGGAGGGCACCCACGTGTTGATGGGTGAGGTGGGCAGCAGCCTTGCCCTGCGGCCCCTTACCTCGGCCTGGCCAGGCTTCCTTGACTCTGCTGAGGTCCTCAGGCTCCTGCAAGATCCTAAGCGCACTTCCTCTACACTTTCTGAATGGGGAGGGAGACACATTTGAGGGAAATTAAGCCAGAGATTGCCAAAGACTCTGAAGTCATGTGATCCCCATAAAAGGGGATCTGGGGGCTGGATATCATCCCCATAGTACAGGGCTGGAGCCTTCCAAGAAACTGAGGCAGCATGAAGACCCTCTCTTAACCTCGATTTTTGCGACCAGGCCAAAGATTTCAGTCACTCAGAGCAAGAGGAATGATTTATTGAAGGGATGGGGAAGGGGGAAAAGGACAGTCCCAAGGGAGAGAGGGGGTCCTCAGGAAGGAGAGGGACAACGTGCCTTTCTTGCACTCCAGCTTTACTGGGGATCCCAGGGAAGTTTCCAGAGTCCTGCCTAGGTCCCCCTCTTGACTTTTGACTGACAGCAGGATGACATCAGACTTTGAAGTCTCCACTGCCATGGCCACTCTAGGTCACCTGGCCCATGCTGACCAGTTCTAACTGGATTCTTGTTTTTTAAAGAGAGAGAATTTTTTAATATTTATTTTCTAGGTTATGGTGCACACAACATCATTGTTTGTATGTGGTGCTGAGGATCAAACCCAGGCCGCACGCATGCCAGGGGAGCGCGCTACTGCTTGAGCCACATCCCCAGCCCATCTAACTGGATTCTTCACTGTATATTCTTGCAGATTTTATGGTTAGGAGGAAATGTTCTTGTCTCCCTTAGTTTCAGGAGCTGGTCACAAATGTCCCCTGGGTTCATCCCTGGACAGTATCTCAGGTCTGCAATTCTCCTGCAGTTAACAGGTAGTTTGCTGAGGAATGTGACTTAGCCTGTCAACAGACCAGGCCGGGATGCAGGTAAATGGCTTCTTGGAAAAGAAAGCCCGTGGGGGTCAGCACCCTGGGTGATCCACAGAGTCCCTCTCTCACCTTGTGTCCCTACCCTGCTTCTCTATCTGGTCCCCAACACCAAGAGAGCTGAGCTGAGGAGAGCAGGGTGCTGGCAAGGACATGCTTCTCTTGGGCCAGGTGTCCTCAGCACCCCAGGCTTCCTACTGCCACATCACTCCTGGAGGTAGATGCTCTGGACTTAACTGGACAGTGTCCAGGACAGCGACATTCCCTCTGGCTGCACAGATGTTGAGCACACCCTCTCACACTCATTCCCACAGACTACCTGGACTGGGAGTCAGCATCTCCAATCTGCGGCCCCCAGAAGTGTTCATCCTGGTGGCCAGCCATTGAGGACATGGATTTGGATCAGCTGGACCTGAACCCCAGGATTATTGCTGCAGTTAAGAAAGGTATTTTAAAAAAAAAGAAAGGTATTTTAACTTGCCTAAGACTGAAGTGTCACATGGATACGTGGGTGTGTGAGCAACTTGATGTAGAACAAGGTCACAGAACATCGACTTTCCACGGTGTTCCCCTGAGACCCCGACCCCGACTGTGGCCTCAGCATTGGGACATGCTGTGGCTCCTCCATGTGCACTGATGGAAGGGACTTTTGAGGTCCTTCCCATCACTGCACACGTGGGTGTGGCCTAGGAAGGGGAGCGGGTCACCTGTTCGCTGTGGCTCCTCAGCTGCTCTGCAGTCTGCACAAGCTGTCTCCAGGCACTGTTCCTGTCCCCTGGAGCCTCAGGACACTTGGCACACTCAGGGCCTTGCTCCGCTGCCTGTTGGCCTCTTGTCCTGCTGGTGGTGGCCTCATGATCGTAGGGTGGCTGCAGACACCACACTTGCAGTCTGGGACATCTACCATCTGCCGGCTGTCCCCAGAGCCTCCCTCAGGCAGCATTGCTTGCTGGGAAGCCATCTTCCCCTGGCCCTTCCTGTCCTCTGCAGATCTCCTTCAGAGCATGCCTCAGGAGTTCCACCTGTCGGGACTGGAGCCTCCTGTCAGTGGCTGGTGGTGGCTCCATCCCCCTCTCCCTGTGAGCCCTTCGTCCTCCTCTCTGGTGTTCTGTCCACTCCCCCATCGCCTGGGCATGTGTGCAACATTGTTTTTCTTCCCACTAGTGCAGAAGTGGAGAGCCATGCCCGCCCAGCCCAGAGCCACGGAGAAGGCCGCCCTGCAGCCCACCTGCCAGTGGCCCCTCCCGCCTCCCCTCCTCCCCTTTCTGGTTTTGACCCCAGGGCCTTGCACACCTAGGCAGGTGACCGTCCACTGACAAATGTTTGAGTCTCGCTGTGTCACCTAGAGCCCCTGCTGCAGCCTCTTAGGAGCTGACTTGCCGAGCAGCACTGCCCTCTGGAGACATTTCTAGGGGGTGGACATTTGTGATGGAGGCCACCTCACAGCACCCAGAACTTGCCCGCCTGTCTCCAACTGCACTGGGGGCACAGGAAGGTGCAGTGAGGACACTGTCCCTGAGCCTCCTCCCCCACTGCCCTGCCCACTCCACCCGACTGCCCAGGGCTGGCTGCACGTGGTCCCTGACCTGAGGCAGGGCCCTGCCAGGCGGTGCCGCCTTGCCTTGCCTCCCGTGAGCACCGTCTGACTCCTGGTCTTTCCTGGTGTCAGCCAGGCTGAAGGCCGTGAAGGAGGTCCTGCACTTCTCTGGAGCTGACCTGCAGAGACTGACCGGCCTGTCCAGCCCTGACGTCCAGCACCTGCTGACAGCGGCCTCCTCACACCTGCGTGGGGGCCCCATCCTCACAGGTGGGTGGAGAGTGTCTGTGGCAGATACCTGGGGTCCGTGCCAGGAGCCATGGGGATCCCCAGAGCCAAGGGGTCCCAGGGCCAGGACCTGCCACAAGACGTCCTGCGCTGGGGGAGGGAGGGGCACCTGAGGCTGCTTTCTTGGGTCAGAGAAGAGCTGAGGCTGCAGGTGTGGGGTAGGGTGGGGGTGGAGCAGATGGTGCAGCAGTGCCCAACTGGGGTGGCAGAGGGACCTGCCCAGGGCCACCGCCACAAGAGTGGGAACCAAGTGCCCACAGAGCCAGGCTCCTATTATCAGTGTGCAGGCCTGCAACCCCCCCGTTGATCTGGTGCCTCGCCAGGCAGGGGTCCACTGTGCCCTCCCTTGCAGACACTCAGTGGTCCTGGCACCCACTCAGCACACTGCTGCGGCTGGGACTGGAGCCTGTCTCAGTGCTGACCTGCCCAGGCTGGACACAGGGGGCTGCTGCTCCTGGCCCCACTGGCTCTGGACCTTTCCCTGGGTCCTCACCTCACCCCAGGGTGTCAGCGTGACCAGCAGATGGCTGCCACATGTGTGTACGTGTGCGTGCTTATGCGAACACACCTGTGGTCCCAGTGGGTCCCAGAGAGGGTTCAGGCCAGGGACTGCACAGCCCCTCCCACAGAGCTGCCCTCGCAAGGAGGACGATCCTGGGGTCTGAGTGGCCTTGGCTGCTGAGACCATTGTGGATGCTGCACGAAACCTGCTATGGGACATGCTTCAGAATGATTGTTAGTTGTGCCTCGTTGGTTTTTAGCTGACTTCAAGCCTAATCAGATCTCTGTGCAACCCCTGAGGACTGTCAGGGTTTGAGGCACATCTTAATTTCACGAGATCTCTGGCAACAGCCAGCTGTGGTATCCAGCACCACTCAGCTCTGGGCCCAGGGTCGGCTTCAGCCTCGTGCCCTGTCACTGGGGGCAGCAGTCTCTCTGAGAATGTCTAGCTGCGTTGTTTGGCCAAGAACTGGGAAGTCTAGCAGGGGCAGGTTCTCCTGGGTTCTATCTGGCACACAGCCACGTGGCCAGGCCACCTCCCCTCTGCCCACCCAATGTGACCCCCTTGCCAGTCTTCTTACACCTGTGGTCTGGACAGGGGTGGGGCACTGGGCAGGAAGCCGTGTGACCCCACCCCTCCCTGCAGCGCTGCACCTGTACCAGCAGAGGGAGCGCTTCCCCGCGCAGCACCAGCGCCTGAGCCTGGGCTGCCCCATCCTGGATGGGCTCCTGGGCGGCGGCCTGCCCCTGGAGGGCATCACAGAACTGGCTGGCCGCAGCTCAGCTGGGAAGACCCAGCTGGCACTGCAGCTCTGCCTGGCTGTGCAGTTCCCACCACAGCATGGAGGCCTGGAGGCTGGTGAGTGTCCATCCTCCTCCTGGGGCCGGGAGGGTCCTGATCTGGTGACTCTGGGGTCCTGGCTCTACTTTCAGCTGCTTCCCAGTAAGTGGGCTAGTGGCCGCCTCAGGCGTTTCCCAGGATTCCCATCTTCCTCTTGCAGAAGAATAAGGGGAAGGAGAGCTGGGGCCCGGCTACCTTCAGAGGCAGCCTCCACGGACCTGAACCCTCCGGCATCTGGTCGCCAGGGTCACTGGCCAGCCCTCGAGGTTGCCACCCAGTGTGAGCCCTGCAACATATCACACCCACCTGCCAATGTCCCCTGCAGAGTATGTGGCCACAGCCAGAGTGCAGGGCCAGGTCACGTGACACATCTACCCCTGGGTGACAGTCAGTGTCTGGAGCCTCTGGAGGGGTGGTCAGGAGCCCAGGACAACCGAGACACCAGCTGCCACACTGTGCGCACGCGCAGTAACCTGCACCATGAGTGGCCGACATGACCAATTCCCAGAGCTGGGCTGGTGTCCCTTCAGTCCCACATCTGACTGCCCCCCAGCATCACGCATGTCCCCAGCAGTCACACACCAGGTCCATGCTCCCTGGTCCTCTCCATCTCTAGAGGCACGGGGCAGCGACCTTTGTGGTCTGGGCTCCTATCCCCTGGTCCACAGGGATGTTGGGCATTTCCTGTGCCTGATGGCCTTGCAGACACATCTCTTGGGGTCCTTGCCATATTGGAACTGCCTTCTTATCGAGTTTTAAGAACTCTGTGCCCTGGGCACACAGCCTGACCACGTGTTCTCCTGTGGGTCCTCTTTGGTTGCTTGTGCTTGGTGTCAGTTAAGGTCATGAAGATTTATTCGGGTTTTCTCCTAAGAGTCTTGGCACCCACGTGTGGGCCATTCTGAGTGCATTCTTGCACCTAGTGTGAAGTCCAGCTTCGGTCCTTTGCAGGTGTACGTCATTCGGTCATCCTGGCGCCATCTGTGCAGAGGTTCTTCTTCCCCCTGAGCCCTCTGGCCTCTCTGATCAAAGTGAGATGCCCACCAACACAGGGTTTGCCTGGACGGCCCTGGCTCTCAGTGCAGGCTCTCAGCATGCCCTGAGCACAGAGTCTAGGCCCAGGTGGCTGCCAGGGGCTGTGCAGGGCCAATGACCCTGTTCTCACCACTTGTTCCAATCACCACTGAGGTGCAGTGTCAGGAGCCCAGAGAGTGGAGCAGAGGGTCTCTGTAGGTCCAAGGGAGGGACATCTTCAAAAGCCCCTTGGCCCTGCCCATCCACTTGTTCCCCTGCCCAGCCAGGGGGTGGAGGGAGCAGGAATGGGCAGAACAGGAGCCCACCTGTAGCCATTCTGGCTCAGGGCAGCAGGTGTATGCACCTGGGTATCAGAGCTGAAGTCCAGCCGCGTTCCCAAGGGAGGTGGCTGCAGGTGGGACCGGAATTGGCCCTGGTCTGCCAGCTCAGGCTGGAGGCGAGGATGCGGAGCAGCAGAGGTGGGAGCAGGAAGATGTCTGTGGTGTGGCCCTCTGAGGCCGCGGGTCCTCTGAAGCCTGGCGCATGGCTTCCCAGGAGCCGTTTACATCTGCACGGAGGACGCCTTCCCCAGCCGCCGGCTGCAGCAGCTCATGCAGCAGCAGCAGCGCCTGCGGGCAGACGTGCCGCAGGATGTGGTCCAGAGCATCCGCTTCGGCAGCCAGATCTTCGTGGAGCACGCGGCCGACGCGGTGAGTGTGTCTGGTGCTGCAGCAGCCAGGACAGTAGGGGACAGGTGGGGACGCGTGGCCAGGTGGGGTCAGAGGGTAGAAAGTTACCAAGAGGAGATGTCAGTGGTCAGGGGACCAGCCCCCACCTGGGTGATGGAGGATGAGGAGCCTGGTGGGACGTGGGGACTGGATGTGGAGAGTGGGATTGTCACTGCACTGACTGAGCAGGAGCCTCGTTGACACCAGGTTTCACCTGCATGAGCCCAGGTGGGGCTGGAGAGGACTCAGGAACCTGGTGACTTGGGCCAAGCAGAGGGTCTGGGCCTGAATATGCCTGTGGCCCCGCAGGCAGGGCACTGCCCTCTGTGCATTCTTTGAGCAGCACTGTACCATCTGGCCCATACTTAACTGGGCTGGATGTTCATTTGCCAGCGCCTCTAGGAGGAAAGAGTGGGAGAGAAGCCCAGGTGGGACCAGGGCATCCTCTGGGCCCAGGACCCCTGGTGCAGGGACCCTCTGCCATCCCCTTCTGCTTCTGATGGTGTCTGTCCTGGTGAGTGTGGCACTGCCCCTCCCGGCCAGCAGGGCTGCACCAGACATGAACACGGAAGGCAGAGCCCACCTTTGAGAATTGCTATGGAAAGACGCTTTCAAGTAAAGGATGAAGTGTATAGACTTTTAATTTTTAAAATTTACAATAAAATACATTATCACACAGTGCAGGAGCTAGCAAAGAGCACAGGGAGGTCAGGCAGGCACAGGACATGGATACCCTGTCCCTGAGAGCCTTCCAGGGAGGGGCAGACTGTACCTGCCTGCCGTCCCCTCAGGGCTGCCTGGGTGGCACCTGCCCAGCCAGCCGATTGCCTCTCCAAGGCCTTGCCAGTGGGGTGGTTCATTATTAGTATGGCGCTCCGCGGTCGTGGTCAGGATAACTAAGTTAGCGCTGCAGCCCCAGCCAAGGGCCCTCCCAGCCTCAGCCTGCCGGTCCCAGGGCCAGCTCCGGGGCTGCACAGGGCAGCGTCCTGGTACCCTAGAGCAGAGCAGGCCAGTATCACTGCAAGAGAAGGCAGCAGGTCAGGCCAGGCCCTATTCTGGAGACAGCTCAGGGACTCCTCACTCTTGCTTGGAAACAGGTGGCTTAGGGCTGGGGGACGTAGGGGACCTGTGTGTTCATCTCTGTAAAAGGAGCCCCCTTTTGCAGAAGCAGGGCCTTAGGCCATGCCTGTCCCCCTCCACCTCCTCTGTGGCCTTGGCATAGGCCAGTGTATGGAACTCACGTTAGAGTTGGCATCCTCCAGGCTGCTGCTGTCATTCTCCACACAAAGAGGCTCCGCTGGGGATGCCCTGGGGAGAAGCACAGACCTGGTATCACGCTGGGCTGGACTCCAGGCCCTCGCAGCTCTTTGGAGCTGCAGGTACCACAACCTGTGTGGCACGGCACAGCTGGCTAGGATGATCTGCAGACCTGGAACTGGTGCCTGTGTCCTCGGGCCTGCTCACGCATGTGTTCCTGCCTCGTCCCCTCCACCATGCAGACCTCTGCCATCGTTAGCCATCTACTGCATCACAGCCCACCTAGCCCTGGGGCCAGAAAGGTCCCCAAACGGAGCCCTGAGGAGGGTCTGCCTTGGAAGGGGCTCATATCCACCCCTGGCCAGGGCTGTGTGAGCACAGGGTGGTGGAAGGGCTGGCCCCCACCTGCATGGTCTCCCAGGGTGCAGCCCCTGCATATGGTCCTGGCACTTGACACAGTTAAATTTGGGGCAGCGCCTGCCTTAAGAAGGATAGACTCTGGGACCCCTGCTCAGACCTGCTTGATGGGCACACCTGGTGATCAGGTGGCCACCAGCTCTGGCCTTTGCAGATGCGTCTGGGACCAGGTGGTCTGGAGCCTTTGAAGGAGGTGGGCTGGTCTCTGATGGGAGGTGAGATGACAGCCCCAGGGCAGAGAAGGGCAGGTGTGAGCACAGGCAGTTCAGGGAAAGCTGTGCGCGGGGGTGGGATGATGCTGCAGAGCACCCCTGCTCGGAGGGCACAGTGCCAGGGGAGAGCTGGGTAGGCCTTGAGCTTATCAAACAGGAGCCTCCGGAGAGACGCAGAGGTGGAATGCAAGGCTCTGGTGCAGTGTCTGGGGAGGACACAGACAATAGGGCAGTGCCAGGGGACCTGGGCACCTGGAGGGGCCATGATGCCGTCCCTAACTCCCACAGGACACCTTGCTGGAGTGTGTGAGCACCAAGGTCCCCATCCTCCTGTCACGGGGCATGGCCCGCCTGGTGGTGGTAGACTCCGTGGCAGGCCCCTTCCGCTGTGAATTTGATGGTCAGGCCTCAGCCACCCGGGCCAGGCACCTGCAGTCCCTAGGGGCCACGCTGCGCCGGCTGAGCAGCACCTTCCGGAGCCCTGTGCTATGCATCAACCAGGTGGGCCAAGGCCAGAGCTACTTGCCATGAGCCAGGGAAGGCAGGGTGGGCAGCACACCAGGAGTGGGGCAGTGGCGCGGGAGTGGCCGTGCACCTTTCTGTGTTGACACAGAAACTTCCCAGAGACCTTCAGCCACCACAGCTGACCCCACTGGGCTTTTCCAGGTGACAGAGGCTGTGGAGGAGCAGCGCGTAGCACTTGGGCCACCAGGGTAAGTGCTGGTACCTCCTGGCACTGAGCGCAGGAGGGGGACACTGTTTCCACAGCAGCAACGGCCTGTTCTCTGTGTTGCAGGCCCTGGGACGAGCACATTTCCCCAGCCCTTGGCATAACCTGGGCCAACCAGCTCCTCGTGAGGCTGATGGCCCACCGGCTCCGCGAGGAGGAGGCTGCCCAGGGCCCCCCTGGCCACCCGGCCCGGATCCTGCGGGTACTCTCCGCCCCTCACCTGCCCCCCTCCTCCTGCTTCTACACAATTGAAGTGGAAGGGGTGCGAGGGGCACTGAGGGCCGAGTCCTGCTAACATGGACCAGGTCCCAAGAAGCCCAGAGCCTGGCTGAGCCCTGGAAGCGGCCAGTACAGACGCACAGCACTGCAGTCCACCAAGGTCAGCACACGATCAGTCCTCCTCAGACAGAGGTCAACAGCGAGCTGAGGCTGCACCCCCTCTCCCACCTCACCCACCAGCTTGCTGGCCCTTGGCGGACAGGAGACTCACAGGGGCTGGGGGCTCTACAGAGACTCACAGGGGCTGCTCTGGGCCTGTCCTCAGTTTGCCCCACCCACACCCTGCTGGTCAGAGTTGCCAGCCTCCCCTCGACCTGGGAGCCTGTGTCCTGCAGGGTGGTCCTCAACCCTGCTAAAGCTACCCTCACACATTGCCCTGGACCTCTGGTCACCTCAACCACCCCCTGTGGTGTAGGCAACTTTGGGGAAGCTGATGAAAGGACACAAGGAACCAGCAACATGCACCTTGGGGGATGCAGCCAGATGTTTGCCAGGACCACCTGCACAGGCCAGCCTAGCCTCCCTTCTGGCTAGAAGGGTGGAGCCTCCCGGCAGCTCATCTGACTGTGGACCCTGGAATCTGACCACCTGGCCATGACCTGAGGGACATGGCCTCTTCACAGGCAGGGCTGCGAGTTAACAGTGGGCTTCTCATTAAGAAGCTGCTGTCTGCTAGGTACTGCGCCTGTGACCTGAGCTATCCCTGCCGCTGCTCTCCAGTGGGGAGACTGAGGCACAGGCCAGCCAAGTGGCTGGGAGGTCCTGCAGCCCTAAGCCAGACCCCAGGGCCCCTGCAGGGAGAGCCCCCACTAAAGATGGGAGGCTATGTGTTCCTCCAGGTGTGGGTGTCACATCACCTGCTCCCCAGAGCACCATGGCCCCAACAGGCCAAGACTCACTATCACCAAGCTGTTCTGAGGCTGGACTTTCCCCGAACGGCCTTCCTGCAGAAGTGCAGGGGCTCCACGGCAGCAAGTCAAACACTGTTTTTGTGTAACCAGAGAATTCCAAGTGATTTTCGAGGCAAAATCTATCAATTAGAAAATAAACTACAGCTCTCGTCCACTCAGCAGAGGACGAATGCACCTGCCTGGCTTGTGGTCTGCACAGGGTCTGCCCTGCAGGGTCCTCTGCCTGTCCCCCTTAGAACGCCTGAGTTCCTGCCCCTAGCACCACGGAACCACCCTGCACATGCCGCGTCTGCTGGCCAGCACAGCAGGGGCTGGGGTGTGCGACACCCCGCTCTCAGAAGTCTAATCACTGTGCTGCTGCAGAATGCAAACGTGAGCCCCAGAACCCAGGACGCCTGGACCCCGAGGCACAGACAGCCTCTGCAGCTGCCTTTGTTCCGTGAACTCAAGAGTTCCTGGTGGCATGGTACCCCTCACAGCTTTCACACCAGATGCAGGGGTTTATTTTTTTAATTCTTTTAAGAAAAAAGTAAGGTACAGGTTTAAACTCCTCCAATCCTGTCAACACCAGGACCACTTGGGCGGAAGTCCATGCAGTGCCCAGCCCAGCCCCAGGTCTGGCTTCTGCCTCCCTGTTGTGCCCACCTGGGAACTCTCCTGTGACATCTATGGATGGTCCCTGCATTGACTAGCACACTTGGCCCTGGGCAGCAGCTGCTCCACCTTCCTGCCACTGTTGGGTGGTGGTGAGGGTAGAACCCAGGGCGGGCAAGGCAAGTGCTCTACCACTGAGCAACACCCAGCCTTTGTGAGGCACAGTCCCACTAAACTGCCTTGAACTTGTGATCCTCCTGCCACAGCGTCCCCAGTGTGCACCATCTGGCTTAGATTGGCTTTTAACTTGGGACTGACAAAGACTGAAGAGACAAGTGCCACTCTCACTTGGGGTCCTCTCTCCACCAACGAGGACACTGAGGAGTGGGGACGTGGCCACTTCTTTCCTAAGAGCATTAAGATGCAGACGACCACACTGGAGACAGGCTACCTGCTGCCCCAGGTCCCATGCAGCTCCCCCTGTGACTGAAGTGTGGCTCCTTGGGTGCCACAGGTTTTGCCCCCCACCTGCATTCCCACAGAGACAGCCCAAGGCCTAGCTCTGTGCTCTGGGTGCTCAAGCCTGGAGTGGAGGGAGCTGGGCCTGCGGCTTCCCTTTTTCTCGGGTAGCTGTGTAGGGAGCAGCTTGTCACACTGTGGAATGTCCTAAACCTCACTAGACAGCATTTAGTTCCCGACCCCTCAGAAGCTGCAGTGCAAGCCTAGACAACAGCCTCCAAGCGGCAGTACAGAAGGAAGTTCTGGCCAAAGCCCTGGGGCACACGCAGGCCTGCCAGGAGCAGAAACCCTTCCCAATGCCAGTTGGCAACCAGAACTGATACCCAGTCACAGGGCACATGAAGACATCTCAAGTCCAGCTGCTGCAAAAACCCCCATTGCTGTCACCTCTGGCCCTTGGCTCAAGAACAGCACGTGGGTCCCAGCAGCCCACATCCAGCATACCAGCCCCTCCCCAGCAGCATGCAAAGGGAGGCTTCAAGGCAGGGCCACGGCTGCTGCAAGGTGAGCACTGAAACCCCACGTCCCGGCAAAGGCTGCACAGCCTAGGATGCACCCGGCACCCAGCTCCCTGAACCTGCTGTGGGTTCACAGCCTCCTGTGGCTCACACGCTGCCTGAAGCAGCAAGCTTCTGAGGTGGATCTGAATGGTTCTCGTGAAAAATCCACCCATCAAAAGCTTTTCAAAAAATGAAAGACACGTGTCAAGGTGCTTAGCTGAAGGGGCCAGCAGGCAAGGGCTGGGACCATACCCTGTCAGTCACCACGCTGGCCCTGCAGAGGCCCTGAGGGAACACCTCGAGGCAGAGCCTGAGGAGCCTCCTCCCTGCCACGCCTCTCTCCTGCACTGGTTTCTCCAACAGACACCTTGAGCTCCCTTCCGAGAGGACATTCTCTGTGTCTCTGGTTCATTACAGACTTGTCACAGTATCAAAGTCTAAAAGAGGCCTGGGATCAGGGCAAGAGGGAGACAGATGCAGGCGTGTCCGGCTCTCATGTTGGTGGCTCTCGGGCGCCAGATGCAGAATTCCGGGGCATGGCTGCCCACTCTTTTCTAAAGGCAGCCCCTGAGGTTGGCTGTCACTATCTAGGAAAGAAAGCTCGGCCACCACCAGGGCTGCGAGGGTCTCAGTGCTCTGTTAGTCTCGGGGATTCTATTTAGCTCTGTCCTGACCCTCAGTGGCCAGGTCAGTGTGGCTGGCACTCAGAGCTCTCGAGTCTGCCAAACAGTTACTTCTTTCCTGCATGAAGAAAACAAAACGTCATGCTTAACCAGCAACCCCAATGGCGCCAGCTCCGTGGGGTCCCAGGCCTGGCCTACTCCTTGGGTCTTCAGCTCCAGTGCTCAGACCTGGAGGCTAGAGGTCTGCATCAACCACAGCCTTTGGGCTGGGCCACAGCAGTGTGCAGTTGTGGGGTGGTCCCCAGCACTGAGACCTCTCCATCTCACTGCCAGGAGTGCTCAGTGTCCTCCAGTGGCTGCCTGGAGCCCTGGGGAAGCTCTGGGCAGTGCCTCCCACGTGCTGCCAGGCCCTCCTGTCAGTGACCACTGAAGGGCTGCCAGCTCTCCAGGTGTGGTATCTGGGAACCAGCAACTGTGGGTGAGCTCTGAGCAGAGGTAGTCAAGGCCACTGGGGCTGCCAGGTCTACTTGGGGACCTGAGCAACAGGGCCAGTTTCTGAAGCCCCCAAGGGATGGCCACACCAGATGTTCTAAAGAAATAAAAAACAAAACAAAAAAGAACACTTCTGATGCAGACAGAGGCCAAGATGAAAACAAAGTGCACTGCGCGTGTGCGGTATAGACTGCAGCCAGGCACTGACATCTTAGTGTCCAAACGCACACCAGCCATGTGCCACCTGGTGCTGGCCATCTAGAGGACTGGGTTACAGCTCAACTAGGCAAAGGACCAGTTAGAGACTGAAATCATGATTCCTCACGTGAGAATCGGTCGAGCTTTGACATTACTCTATCAGAACAAATCGCTTGAACTAGGTCAAGCCACGTGCAAGATCACTGGGTTAACCCCTCTCCCATGGGTGTTCGCAGCTTGAGCATCCCTGGCTCACACAACCAACGTGGCGAGCAGGAAGGGCGGGCTGGCACAGCCGGCCATCCGACTCACATCCCTGCCGCATGGGCAGAACGGCTCGGCGTTGAGTGGCCAGGGCAGGACAGGACAGGGAAGGCTCCTTACTTGGGAATGATCTTCTGCAGCCTCACCACCCACGTTAAGAGCATTCAGAGAACTGGCATGCTTCATGCTGCGACACCGACGCGGACATGCAAGGACAAATGGATCAGCATGTCAACCAGCCAGCAGGACACTGGGGTCCCTGGGGACTGGGCCTTCCCTGGAAGTCCCTGCTGTTTTATGCCCCAGACAAAAGCCCAGTTTCCTGCATCTCCCAACAAAGAGCCCATGGTTCCCGGACACACCAAGTCCCTCTGCCATGCCTGTCCTGGGGCTCTGGAGGCCTGGGGGGCCTCATGCAGGGCTCAACCCACCCAGGCCAGACACGGAGCTCACTGTGAACATCCATGAGACACATGAGTATGTTCTGTATTTCATACTTTTTATATATAGGAAAAGCAATTTTATCATCAGTAAGAAAAAACTCTGAAGGCAGTATTTCTTACTTTAGAAAACCAACATTTAAAACAAATTTTATGGCTTTACGTGTAAAAAAAACAGCCATTTATATATACATTCACTTTTCCCCACCATTTGATGACTACAGTACTTGAGCTGGCCTAGGAATGACCTGTAGCCTGGGTTTAGATCACAGAGGCTACAAAAATCACTGCACTGTTCACCTCCTTCACGGACACCTCTGGACACAAAGCCACTTCCACTTTCACACAGTGACGCGGTGCTGAGGTCACTGGAGTGCTCCCATGGGACCCTGGTTCTAAATGTGGCTGCACACCAGTGAGCACGGGGACACAGGACAAGGGTGCCCAGCCAACAGCTGTGGGCCAGCTCTTGCTGACACAGAGACCACAGCTTACCTTTCCCCAAGCAGAACCCACCCAGGGTGTCCAACAGGAGACTGTCCAGCAGCCGCCCGGATGCTGCCAGAGGCCCCCACTAGTTCTCCTCTACCTAGGCCACTCCAGACCAAGTGCAGCCACATCAACTCAGCCCTGTCCATGGCTCGACTGCTCTCTTCTCCCTGCAGCCAGCTGGTTTCTTCTAAGAAGGCAATGCAGCCTTCTCCCTCAACTCTGCAGGATGAAAACAGCGGCAGGACCCCTCACAGTGACTCTTTCACTCTGGGGCATCAGGACGATGGCACGCAAGTCCAGCTCAGCAGTGGGCCACCAAAGCCTGCTCCTGGAACGTCCAGTCAGCAACTCCTGTGGCAGCCCCAGGCCAATAGGCTCAGCCCCACCCAAGCACTGGCTAGAAAAGCAGGTGCTGGGGCCCCCAGAAGCCAACAACAGGACACCAGGGAGGGCCAGGCAGCCCATGGGAGTGCCCAACAACACTGGCCTTGTGGTCTCATGGGATGGGAGCCCCAAGGCCACTGAGGACGCACTGGGCTGTGTGAGCACAGACACCACTGCCATCCTCAGGCTGACCCTGCAGCAGCACTGGACACAGTGCAGGGAGGCCGCACTCAGCATGTCAGAAGCCAGGTCTTGGAAACAACAGAAAGATGCTGACTGCTCTCACATGGGAAGTGTGGCCATGTCCCAGGGCTCAGAGTCAGAACTAGGGTGTGCACACCAAGGCCTTCAAAATGTCCACAGCCTCAAGCCGCCAGGGTGCCTCCCTCTGAGGAACTAAAACCCTGGATAGGGTGTTCTGATGCACAAATTGTTCTGCTCAGAAAGGTCCCCCTACAGGGGCAGACCCAGCAGCGGTGGGGCACTGTTGGCCCCTCCCAACGTCGTAAAAAGGCAAACATCCATCCGTTCCAGAGTCACTCAGTGTACCTACCTGTCACTCTGTGTGACCTGTCACTCCAGGTCTGGGAACAATCAGACACCACACCCCAAGGCAGTCCAGGGCTACCTTCCAAGTGAGATAGCACGGCAGCACTGCACCTGGCCAGCCGGGGGCATTGTGCCAGGGCCCAGGCGGTTTCCACCAGCTGCAGGGACCCTGACCTCCGCCACAGGTGTTCCTGAGGGGCCCACAGCAGCATAGCACTGCTTCCGCCAGGGACACCCAGCTCCCAAAAGCCACCAGAAGTTTTCACCCTCAAGTGGAGTGACTCCTAGAGGGACAGAGTGGCCAAGAAGGCCAAGCACAGAGTGGTGGCCACTGTGGACCCTCTGGCCAGACCCTCTACTGGCTACGGAGGCACCAAGTATGGGTGATGGCAGGGTCTCGGGCACAGGTCCTAAATGCCACTGAGGGGATCAGACTGGACATGGTTTTAAAGGGCAAAATAACAAACAGCTGAAAAGGACAGGACTTGGCATTTCTCACAGGTCCCTGGTGGACTGACAGCCCTGAGCTGACCAGAATTTCGACCACAGAAGGTTTCACATGGGATCGCCTCCCCCCCACAGTGGTGGGCATTGAACCCAGGGTGCTCTACCACTGAGCATATGCCCAGCCCTTTTTATATTTTATTATTTTAAGACAGGATCTTGCTAAGTGCCTCCAACTTGCGATCCTCCTGCCTCAGCCTCCTGAGCTCCTGGGATTACAGGTGTATGTCGCTACACCCCGCTGAAAACTGGCAGTGTGGATGTGACTGTAGAGAAGACTCCAAGACCCATGACTTAGGCCTTTCTTCAAACACATAGAAACTGAAAGTATGAAAATACAAACTCTTTTTATAAAAGCCATAAAACTACAGCCCTTCTTTCAAAACCCTTTTTGCTCCTGATAATGATATCTGCATGAGAGTTAAAGTAGTCATAGCTAACGTGATTTTGAAAGATTAAAATTTTAAAGGATTTGAACTAATGCTAATTTAAAAAAAAAAAAAAAGTAATGCCTATCAAGGGTAAACAAGTTCCAAACTCGCAGTGTTGTAGTATTCAATACCCACTTTTCCCAGCAAAGGCTTTCTTTGAACATGTAACAAAATCGAAGTCCACAAATTTCTTTTGAAGGCATCAATCCTTTGGGCCTCTAACAGGAAGTTTTACAATTATTTCCATCTTGGACAAAGATGGAACCTACTAAACCCCTCCCCGTTGCTAAATCTGGGCCCATGCAGGAGGTGCCTCAGGGGGCCTAGTGAGGAGCAAGGGCCTGGGTGGGCAGGAGGGCTGGGGAGATAGTTACCCGGGGTTCCTCGGCTCACTCTCTCGTGAACTTCCTCCCTTCAGCTTCCTAACCAGCTTCTCACTGCTGCGTCTAATGGAGGCCCGGAGTTTGCTAAAGGAACCACTGCGTTTTAAAGATCCAGTGCCATCCTGAAAAAAATGTGAACAAATGTGAAGCTGCAGGAGGACCCCCCCCAGGCCCAGCTGGGGGCAGACCAGGACGCCCAGCCCGCCCAGCCCACCCAGCTCAGCCCAGCCATTCTAGTCCTGAGAAGCCACCAACTGGCCGTGGGCACAGAAATCCATCCACGTGCAGTTTCATTACAGATGAGCCAATGGTAGTGAGACCCCTTGAGTGCGGAGCAGCTCACAGAAACCAAGCCATCACATTCCCCAAGGCAAGTCAATTAGATTGCTGCCCTGAGACAAGGACAACACACACTTTAGGAAACTAGGGCAGCTTCGAGGAATGTCACCAAAATCAAATCCCGTGTTCAATAAACAGGTGAACATCTGGTCTAGACAGTGAATCCTCTGGACCCTTCCAGCTACAGGCAGCACCCAGCAAACAGAAGGGTCTCCTTCAATGTTGGTATCAATGTAGTGAGAAAATTAGGTGCAATGTTCATTTTCTACAAATAACTAAACATCCTCAGACACCCTGAAGAAAGCAAGTAAAGAGGGACCACCTGACACCGTGACCGGCTCAGACACTAGGAATGAACTCCTGACAGAACCCAACAGAAATCAGACACAGAAGGAAATGTGTGTGATCAGCGACGTTTATTCTGAGAACAGCCCCTCGGTGGGACCCAAGGGACCCGTGGCTCAGGGGCTCTGCAGCACGGCGCTCATGGACCCAGCAGACAGACGCAGGACACAGGTCAGCCGGAGTGAGTTTATTAGAAGTTAGAAAGACACAAATACACACGTTACTGAGCACTTGAGGATTAGTAGAGCAGAGCAGAATCGCTAAACTTCACACAAGACTACACAGCAAACTACTGCAGCGTGTCCTGGAGGCCCTGCAGGGCCCCGCCAGGCCTCTAGCACAAGGGGGACGTGCAGCACATGCCCTACTCCTACAGCTCGCCACTGTCCACAGGTCACCGTCATGCCACCATGGTAACTCCTGTGCGACACTTCTAACTACCTGGAATCAGAGTGAACAGCTAATCGCTCTTAATTTTTGAACTTGTGTATTACACAGTAAATGGATTTTATTAATACAGTTCTTATTACTAAATACATATCTGGCAAAGCTACATGTATACAGAAATCAGGAGCCCCCAAGAGGACAGCAGCACCGAGAGGAATGGCCAGTCACAGAGGTGCAGCTCTGACAAGCTCCTAGGGGCTGCTAGACACAGCGGGCAGCACTGAAGAGAGAGGGAAGCCGGAGAAGGCGCCACCCGTCATGCAGGAGCAGTGTGAGAGGCACACGGGCGGCTAGGCCTGTCAGACAGAAAGGAGAGAGAGCCACGTGAACCCGCGGTAAGGACAGGGCAGCAGATCACGCTCCGCACAGCTTGGTTACAGTACTTCTAGGTCACGGCTCTCACAGCACTGTGCAGCCTCAGCAATGGGCACTGCCTCTGCCACCTGCTTCTACCAGCCCTGCAGAGAGCAGGTGCCCAGCCCCAGGGCACCCTACAGAATATCGGTGGGTACTCCTGATGGTCATCAGAGTAAAGGGAGCATTCTGGGAGTGTGGGCTGTAAAGTCATAAATCTCCTTGAGGCCCACTGTGAAATTTCTCACAAGTAACTACGTCGAGCAGACTTGGCACTGGAAGGCATCTGCTGGGACCAAAACGTTGGCCACCTGGACCTCTCCTGGGAATTTCTCCCTCTTAAGTCTCTCCTGGTACCCCACACTGTGACTGCTCCCCAAGTCAGGCAGGACTCCCACTCTCTTAAAAACACTAACATCTTAGACATTTCAGAACTTAAGAACCACTGATTTTAAAAGTCGACAGCACATTTTAAACATGCAGTTGACATCCTAAATAAAATGAGTTTCGACGGGCAGCAAGGCCTCCTGGGTCTGGCCCGAGGACAACCGCATCTGACGGGAGCCCAGATGCAGGCCTGTCCCCAGCCACTTGACTCACCATGGGGCTCACGCTGAGCAAGTCACTTAACCAGCCCGAGCTTCATCTTTCTCATCTTTAAAATGGAAAAATAAAACTTGTTACCAAAGCCTCAAGAATGCTGGGAGGAAATAAATCAGAAGTTCCCGCTGCTCTTCACAGAAAGGAGGCTGGTGCTCTGTGCCTGCCATCCACTGTGCCCACAGCAGGTGCTCACCTTCCCCAAGCTTGACCCTAGGCTAACCACAGGGTCCAGAAGGATCTAAGGGTATGGGTACGCACTCACATGCACACACACACACACACACACACACACGCTTGCAGCTGCTGGGGAGGGAGGTGATACTCGTGCAGGCCTGCCACCACTTCCTATGAGCCCTGCAACCAGGTCTGCAGCTGGTACTCAGGGCTGGGCTGGGCCAGAGGTGGGCACATCTGCCCCCTTAGGGTTGGTCCCCACCCTGCATGTGCCAACTAAGGACGTGACCACCCAGAGACTGGACAGAACTCCACCAGACGGACTGGGAACAAGGGGGCCCCTGCATCCTGACACTTCTTTACATGCCATGAAGACATTCGTGTCGCACAGAGGGCCTCTGAGCAGGGAGGCTGCAGGTGCTGAAATTTTTAAATTTCCCTTTTGGCATAATCTAGTTGTCTTCCTAGTGTAATTTTTCAAAAATAAAAATCTACTTCTAGTTAACCATTATCACCTTCCCCAATAATCCTGGGTAAGAGGAATTCAGTATATTACAAACTTAGTGAAATCTCAGCAAAGAGCAGCCTGGGAGACAGGAGACAACCAGGGCAGCTTCTGAGCTGGCAGCAGAACCAGCACAGGCCGGGGATGGAGGCTCCCTGGGCACAGGGGGCTGGAAGCGCATCCTGACACTGGCTTAGTAGACCTCAACCCAGGACAGCCCAGAAGGGCCCCGTGGTGCCTGTGACTGAAGCACCCACTTCACAGGACACAAAGCCCCTGGACAGAGGCCAAGGAAGCTCAGTTTCACCCAGAAAAGGGTTCCCAGACAGGAGCAGCTATGCTCAATCCAGGGGGCTCAGGAGCCCCAGCTGCCTGCGGAGCCCCAGGGAGTCGCAGCCTTGGCAGGGCACAGGCAAGAGAAGAGAGCTGTGCCTCCTCAGCAAGTGACCCCAGTGTTCAGACCTGACACCCATGTTCCCCAAGTCCTCAGCATGCCAGTGACCTTGCTAGCCTTCTCCTTTGTTCACATGACCCCGCTAAAGGGGACTCACAGACAGGAGCGCAGGGGCAATGACCAGGACCGTCTGCCTTGTCTCTGGCCATGGCACCCTTTGTTCTATGCCACTTCTGAATACTGAGAAAAACTAACGTCCTGTGGAAATGGCCACTGTCACTTAAGCAAAAGGCCTTGCACTGGCTCTGCTGAAGCTGCCACAACCCAAGAGAGTGACAGATGGTTTCCCCCACGTGGCAGGTTCCGAGGTTTTGAAGAGCACTGAGGAGCTGGGTGAAGCTCAGTGTTGGGGCACTGGCCAAGCCTGGGTTCCCTCCCCAGCAACCCCACCCATTATCAGATACAGAAATTCTTTTTCTAAAAATTAAAAAAATTTATGCAAAACCACAATTTAAAATAAAAACTTGAAATCTGAGGTTAGAGGTGACTAGTGCAGTCTTGAAATCTGAGGTAAGAGATGATAGGTGCACTCTTGACATCTGCCTCAACACCCAGTTTGTTTTATCTCAAATGCATAATCCTGAAAAAAATCTTGAGACACACAGTGGTTGCCAGATTTTCAAATGGCCTGCTGTGTGACCTCCAGGAAGCCTTCACTTACAGTCGGCAGGAGAGACCATTTGATCATTGGTGCAGTCAGACGAACACACTGGGCTGCAGCATGCTCACGTCTGAACCAAGTCAACTCCCTTCCTCGTGTAACCACACCTCTCACAGCTGTCAAAAGAAATGCCTGAGTGTGCACATGGCCTCCACTGTCTCTTTAAAATAATGGAAGTACAATTTGAAAATAAAATGCAAATCAAAAGCCCGGGGAGGGGAGCTCAATGCTGCAAAGAGCAGTCTGAAGGCCTTGGCCACTCCATAGGAAGAAGGGCACCCTGCCGCATTCAGGAACCTCTGAACTGAGTGACCTATGGTTCACAGATGGTTTCAATAACTCAACACTGCAGCCAAGGCACCCTGAGGCACCACTGTCTGGAAGTCAAGTGTGCTACTTAGAAAGTAAAGCCCCAAGTCACCACACAGGTATGTCCTATGTGATAATGTATCCAAAGTAAGAAAGGAAACAGGACAAGAGAGAGTAGGGGCGCTGCTGCCCACCACGTGGCCACCTCCAGCCACATCCAGCTGGGAAGGTGCCCAAGCCCCTTCCCAGGTGGACAAGAGAAGCCCCCCTTCCTTCCCCAGCACGTCCTGAAGACATGGTGGAGCCCTGGGCTGTCACAGTCTCACTGCCACAAGAGTCATATAGACATGGACCTAGAAATACTGTCTCAAGAGAAACTCCTCCAGAACTTCATACAAGAGAGTCAAACTCTGCACGCAGACGTTGAAGACCAAGCAGGCAGGCCCCTCTTTGGAAAAGCATGCAGGCACAGAGCAGCCGAGAAGAGTACAGTACACAGCTCCAACAGGGCAGGCATAGGCAGGAGGACTCCCTGTTCTCACTGCAGTTTGGGACCACTGCCCAGCTGGGCTTCAGCAGTCAAAGCAGATGCTGATTGGTTGTCTTGGCACAGAAAGATCCAAAGCAAGGAAGCTGCCAGGTTAGGACAATGGAGAGAATATTCTCCCTGAAACTCTGGCTGCTCCACTTTCCAGACTGCTCAGTTGGGATGCAAGCTCCTACCAATCTGCTATAGCTAAAGAAAATCCTGAAGAACAAATGGATTCTTTATAAGACAGACATAAGAAGCCCCAAACTGCAGTTTAACAAAACTGCACAATGGCAGCTAATCAAACCACTGCTGCAGCTTCAAAAACTCGATGGTGTACATGGATGGCAAATCCTTGCTGATGAGGACACCAGTTCCATGTACAGAAAAGCAGCTGGGGTCACATGCTCCCTGCAACACTGGGTAGACTGGGCAGAGGACTTTCCCAGAGCCAGCCAGTGCAGCTTTTGGGGTTCTGCTTGTTTCAAACATAAGCAGTCTCCACCTGAGAAGCTGGACAGGCAACAGTGAAGAGTGGGATCACCAGACGCCCCAAGAGTGAAGACTTGGCAGGCAGGACTAAGGTGGGTCAGTGGGAGGAGTGGCCACCCTGATGCTTTTGTCCTGATACTTTTGTTCTTCTCTAAAAACAAGTTCCAGCATCTCTCTGAAGATGACCTGGTTAATTCTAACACATCCAGAGCAGCCAGCTCAGTGAAGTCGGGAGCCCTGAGTTAGCAGTGAAACAGGCAAGTTAGAGAAGCCAGTTAGTCGTCTGCCACACCGACTCCTGGGGTGACACGAGACCTGAGTATGGTCAATGCTTTGAGTCGCCAGGACACTCAGTCAGCATGGAGAGCTCAGGGGTAAGCCAAGCAGCTCTCATGGGCTCCCAAGAAGAGGCTACACTGCAAGCAAGCGGGAGCCTGGAGTATGAGCAGCAGTGAGGCTGTGGGTCGCTGCAGGCACTTGATTTAGGAGAGGAAAAGGACGAGGGCCGCGAGCACGCCCGCCAGCTCCGTGCAGCTGGCTGTGCGCTGTACTTACCCCGTTCCACTCTACGCTCATACTCACTTCCTCCCCTCCGTCAGGGCCACTCTCGTACTTGACCACGTCCACATTGAGACTCTCCCGGCTCCTCCGCTTCTCCATGTTCTCAGGGTCATTTAGCACTTCAGCCACTCTCTGTTTGTGAACAGTGTCAAGACCCTGTGAGCCAGGCAGGGGAAACGTGGGACCCATTAGCAGGCAAGTCTGAGCAGGGGTTTCTCAGATACTTCAAGAAAAGACCAGTTGGTAAATTATCAGGAGGAAAAAAAAAAAATCAGGAAAGGGCACAGGGGAGGGCTTCCTAATGATAATGACAGGTCGGGATTACACAGTGTCCACAATGCCACAACTCAGGACTGCGGCACACTCTCTGAGTGTCCACTTCAAATTAAAAGCTGTAAAGAGGCTGGGTGTGGTGGCACACACCTGTAATCCCAGCAGCTCAGGAGGCTGAGGCAGGAAGATTGTGAATTCAAAGCCACCCTCAGCAATTTAGGGGGACTCCGTCTCAAAATACAAAATAAAAAGGGCTGGGGATGTGGCTCAGTGGTAGAGCACCCTGGATTCAATCCCTGGTACAAAAGGAAAAAAAAAAAAAAGAGGCAGAAAGCTATAAACAGATCCTGAGCTCTAGGTAATGATTTATACTGAAATATTCAGTAGGAAGTGTATGGATACCTACAAATTATCTGAAATGCTTCAGAAGGATGGAAGGATGGCTGAGAGAGATGGGGTCAAGTGTCTGAAACATGACACAATCCAGGTGGAGAACTAGGGCGAGCCCTATACTTCCTCAGGTGTAAGGAGTTTCACGGGATGCTAGGAGACACCTGGTGTCTCAGGTACATGCTTGAAAACTAATAAGTGTTTTTTTAAAAAACCAGGGATTGAACCCAGGAGAACTTTACCACTGAGCTCTATCCCAACCCTTTTTATTTTTTATTTTGAGACAGGGTCTCACTAAGTTGCTGAGGCTGGCCTGGAACTTGTGACCCTTCTGCCTCAACCTCCAGAGTCCTTGGTGTCATAGGTGTGTGCCATTGTGCCTGGCTTTACTTCTATTCTTTTTTTTTTTTTTTCAGTTGTAGATGACACAATACCTTTATTTTATTTATTCATATGTGGTACTGAAGATGGAGCCCAATGACTTTCACATGCTAAGCATGCACTCTACCACTGGGCTACAACCCTAGCCCCTACTTTTATTTTTCTTTTAGTTGTTGATGAATTTTATTTTATTTATTTATATGTGGTGCGGAGAATCGAACCCAGTGCCTCACACATGCTAGGCAAGCGCTCTACCACTAAACCACAATCCCAGCCCCTCCCCCTAAATTTATTCTTTTTTTTTTTTAAGAGAGAGAGAGAGAGAGAGAGAGAATTTTAATATTTATTTTTTTTAGTTTTTCAGCGGACACAACATCTTTGTTTGTATGTGGTGTTGAGGATCGAACCCAGGCCGCACGCATACCAGGCGAGCGCGCTACCGTTTAAGCCACATACCCAGCCCCTAAATTTATTCTTGATAGAAATGTTTTTCAACCAGCCACTCTCAAAAGGTATATTTTACAAGCACTTTTTCACAGCTTAGGAAGTGATGAGCAACTCAGGAGGTTGAGCCAAGAGGATTCCAAGTTGGAGGCCAAGCTGGGGAATGCGGCAAGACACTGTCTTCAAATACAAAATAGGAAGGGCTGGGGGCACAGATCAGTGGTGGTGCACTGGGCTCCAGCCCCAGTACCAAAATAAGAAAAGGGAGTCACCAGCGGAACGAACACGCATCCTCTCCTGTCCATGGCCCCTCCTTGGTGTCTGCATGAGGCCCAGTGCACGGAGTCCCAGCAGGAGACCCCTATGGGCCCCCCCTGCAGCCTGGGTCACAGTGAGCAAGTCTGACATCCTGCTGTGGACATTGCCCCTTCCCTGCCTTCTGTGGCTTCTTCCCTCTGAGGCACAAGCCCAGAAGAGACAGGGACTTGAAGCATTCCCAGGTCCTTTCTCTGCACTGCTTCAGCCCCCAGCTCCACACTCCAAACACACCACATGTCGCCTAACCCCAGTGCCACCACCTATCACAGGACTAATATCAACCCTGCCCCAGGCCCCACTTGGGACCTCTCTTCACACAGGGAAGCGTTCTGCACACCAGCTGCAAATGGAGAGGGCCCAGGAGGAGGAGCATGGTTAGGGCAGGGCAGGGAAGAAAGGCTTCTGCCCACACTCAAGTATGTTGTCCTCTCTCCTCACCTGTGAGACTACTCTATAGGACACGTCACTCAGCAAAATAGTGGCTGTAAACCCACAACTATAAAAATAGCCTACAGGTATTCCAGTCAGAGAAAAAATACCTACACCTGTCCCCCAACCCTAAAAATACAAAACAGAAACTGCCACGGTCATACGTATACACACACACCTCTGCATAAAAATAACTCCTTACTCCTGAACTGGTGGCTCAAAGGCACGAACCAGCATCTTTCCTGTCTCAGCACTGTTGTTTTATCCCTAGATGAGGAAAAAAGGGCTTCTTCACAGAATCCCCACTAATCAGGTAGCAAAAGGTCCAACCAAGCTATTAGCCTTCTGACAATGGCCAGCTGCCACTGGAGGACAGCCAGCCTCCACAGCAGCCATGCCACAGAGCAGGCAGTTTGAAGGGATGCCCTCCCTGGAGTCTGTGTATGGCCCAATCCATGCAGGGCACACACAGGGGCTGCTCTCCATAGGCATCTCTAGTGTGCACAGTTAGGAGATTTCATGACAGGTTAAAAAAGAAAACTATGAAGCAGACATCTTTTTCATCTAACTCCTTTAAAAAGAGACGCAATGTATGTAACCCAGAGGTAGGCAAGTGCCAGTGACTGTCAGCTTTGTGCTATCTCATTCAGGAACTTTCCCCACCCCAAAAGGGGCCTTTTAACACTGCAACTGCTCCACTCCTCTCCCCAGCTCTGCTTTCTGCCTCTGAGTATTTGCCTGCTCTGAATGCCTCGCTTCACCTGGACAGAACCCTACATCTGTCCTTCAGGGCTGAAGGTCTCACGGCTCACTGCCACAGCTGTCAGTACTCCATTTTTTTTGATCGCAGGATGACCCACCTGTTTACGAGACCTCATGGCAGCTTCTTCTAATGTCTCTGCAGCTTCAAATTTCCCTTGACGTCGGTAAAGTGCTCCAAGGTTTTTCAAAGTAGTTGTAACAGTCGGGCTGTAAAAAAAAGCATACAACATGCAGCACTGTTAGGGACATGGCTTAGGTGGCCACCATCACAGGTAGGCAACTTAGAAAAACCCTGCAGCATTGCAGTACGGATGAGTACTGCCATATACCAGGCCCTTGCTTCCCTTTGCGCTGTACAGCCTGCTTCACTGTCAGTGCCCTGGGCACAGAGGGCAAGCAGGAGTCACCCACAGTCTGCTGGCAGGGGACGCCATGGGACATGTTCTTCCTTCAACTGCAACGTTCTGAAGAGCACTCCCAGCCCAAATAGGCCTACTGCCAACGCCGTCAGACCCTGCTGCTTCCAGCAAAGCTCACAGCAGGCAGACACTGAAGCCATCCAGGGCCTGGCTGCTGATGGTCCCCTGGCCACCACAGAGGCATGTAGCTGGCCTACTCAGGGGTCAGCACATGCCCCTGGAAACAGAGCTCAGCCTGTGCTGGGCAGGATTGAGGGAAGGTTGCCATGTTGCAGTCATAACCTCCTGTCTCATTAGAGGCTCATCAGCTAATGACAGGTGTGAGTTGAAGAAGCAAGAGGAGACTGCAGACAAGTTGAACTCCTAACAGGAAGGTCTATTATGTCAGCAAACCCCGCAGCATTGCAGTACGGATGAGTACTGTGAGAGCTGTTTTCCCTCATCAATGTCGGGCCTTTCCAGTACACTCCCATATCTGTAAGACCAGTACTCAGGGGGTAGGAAGAAGAGATGTGCTTGTCATGTACTGTCTATTTTCCTGAAATAGACAAGAGGGGAGCCAAGTCTTCGAGAAGGAGGAAGTCGAGACAGGGAGATAGAAGCAGACGAGGGGCACTGCTCTGATGGGCCTTGGCAGCCCTGCTGCATGTGAGTGCAGGTGACCACAGGCTTGGGAGACTCACCCCCAGAGCCACAAGGGCAAAGCATGCCCCGAGCAGCTGGGGAAGGCTTTCCAAATGCTGGCCTTCTGAGATCTGCTGCACATCCGCCCTGGGAGCTGCAAGGCTGCCTCAGTGCTGTTCTCCTCATTTAAGTCCCACACTTCCTTCCACTGGGTGGTTTTCTTTGACAGAGCAGCAGTGGGCAGACCCACTCTTCCATAGTGGGCTGTGTGCATACAAATAATCCACTAGCAGAGATGGTGGGATTTCATAAATGGAACTGGGGGAAATCTGGGACTACCCAACACTGGGGACATCCCCACATCTGACCTTCCCAAACTGCTCCTACAGCCCTGCAGCACCTCTCTGTAGTACAGGTCTTTGGCTGACCAGACCCACCTGTCAACTTTGCAGGCTTTGTACCAGCCTCCGTACTCTCCAAAAGACGACCCGTCCTTCTGCTTTCCCTAAACCATAACAGAGAGTTAACATGAAGGCTGTGAGGGCCGAGCACCCACACCCCTCCACTCAACCAGCCTTACTTTGCACTCTTCCCTTTCCTCAGCGTGCATCCAGATGGGCTTGTTTTCATCTGGGGAAGAATAACAACATTCGGTAAGCCGAAGAGCAAGAGCCCAGTGAGCAGAAATTATTAGGTCTCAGTGACTGCAAGGTTTGTGGACAACACTTCTTCAGTATTACTCCTTACAACTTGGACAGATCAAGTTCATGCTGGAGGAGATGCAGAAGCATTCCAGGCAAGTGCCTGGCCAAACAACCCAACAGATGCAGGCTCATGTCATACTGGAAGCACTCAGAAGTTGAGCACCTCACATTAAACCTAAGTCTGAGAAAAAGTAGAAGATTTGGGGAGCAAAAGCAGAAAAGATATAAATCAATATTCCTTCGAAGTCTCAACTGCTCAGAACATGAATACCTCCCACTAGACAATGAACCCATGCCACAAAAGAAAAAAGAATCTTAAAAATGAGGCTTATGAAAAGGCCTTTCTGTCCTGTGTTTTAGGATTTGCACGGAGAATAAATTCGGTAAAGAAAACTGCTTTAAACTTGAGCCCGACTAACTAAACTGCCCATTACTACCCTGAGCAGCAGCAGACAGCAAATCCAAGAAATCACTTAACTCCAGGGGAACTTTTGAAAAGGAGCATCAGGAGAGATGACCTGGCACCTCTGTGGCTGGTAAGTCAGAATACTCCCTGTGAACTGTGACACTCCAAGCAAGCGGGACAGTCAACCCTGCCACATGGCTACACCAGACCACCTGGCCTGGCAAATCCAGGGCCTACTGCAGCCTTGGCAGCGGACTGACCACTCCACTCACTAGCAGAGAAACAAAGTACATTTTTTGTGGGGGTTTTTTCCTTCTTTTTTTTTTTTGGGGGGGGGGTGACTGGGGATTGAACTCAGGAGTACTCAACCACTGAGCCGAATTCCCAGCCCTATTTTGTATTTAGAGACAGTCTCACTGAGTTTTGCTGAGGCTGGCTTTGAACTCTTGCTCCTCCTGCCTCAGCCACTGGAGCCTCTGGGATTACAGGCCTGCACCATGGCACTTGGCTACAAAGTACATTCTTGAAAAATGTTTCCAAAGTGGTTTCTAGAAAATCTGTAAAAGGAAAAAGTAACAGGCTTCTGGCAGCTATCCCACACAGCTTTGATGAAGCACAGACACGTGCTGCTGATGCACCTAGAGCAGCGCTCAGGCCCACACTCTAGCACCATCAGCCCACGTCTCACTGTGGCCAAGAGGCAGGTTACACTCACAAGTCTCACACAAGACACCAGTAGAGCTGGGGAACTGCTAGGGAAGTCCAAGTTACACCATGGAATGACCAGTTCCAGATGTGACACAGAGACCCAGGAAATGGCAGAACCACCTGTTTCCATGCCGTGAAGAAGGAAAATACTGAAATTCTTTTTCTAGGATGCAACACATTTATATAAAAAGTGCCTTAGCAGTAAAAAAAACAAAACACTTCATGTGCATCAATGACCCACATTCTGTGGTCCCTGCATGCCAGACCACCAACTGGCCCTATCCTGAAGCCTGGGTAACACCCAGTGAGGGAAAACTAACACAATTATTTAACTGAGCAGTTTAAATTCAGTGAAATATTTAATCCACAACTGTGTCTTAAGCACTTGCAACACTTGACGGATCTAAAGGGGATATGGCCTGGCTCTTTGAGACAGACAAATGGCAGGTTACATTGCCAATAGGCTGGGCTGCTGGGGTCACAGAAGTGCCATAGGCAGAGTGGAGGCTGCAGCTAGGTGCTCTAAGCTAATATGTACAGGCTGGGGATAAAGAAAGCAAACTTAAGCAGCAGCAAGGAAAGACTTAAGAAGTAGGTGGCCCTAAGTTCCTCAGCAAGGAAGGTCTTCTCAGAGCTACCAAGGAAACCCAGCAAAGCACACGCACGGCTCTCACCACACTTACTGAGCAATGGACACTTGAACAAGCAAACACGTGAATGGACACTTGATTGACCATGCTCTCTTCTCATTTAGAAAACCATGAGATTCAAAGCAACTTCTATCTAGAAAACACTGTGAGAACTGGGTATTGCATAGTTGGAAATCACACTTTTTAATACATGAAAGCTTTCTTACCATCCACAGAACCAAACTCTCGCTCATGTGCACGAGTGAGAATCTCTTTGTACAATGTTTCTGCTTGCTTGAATTTTCCTTGTTTCAGGTAGCAGGATGCCTTAAAATAAAATATTTAGTGTCTTTCACATGTAAATAAAACAAACATTTTCATCTACAGGTGAAATAACAAAACATTTGTATTGTTTTATTTTCAGTTCTGGGATTGAACCAAGGTCTCTGAGCATGCTAAGCAAGAATTCCACCACTGACCTATACCCCAGCCCATTTTTTTTTCTTTTCCTTTTTTTTTTTTTTTTTAATTTTAATTTATCCTTATTTGAGACAGGGTTTTGCTAAATTCCCCAGGCTGGCCTTGAATTTGCAATCCTCTTGCCTCAGCCTCCAAGCAGCTGGGATTGCAGGTGTGCAGAACATGCCCAACCACATCTGTAACATACCAGGTTGTTTTTCGTCTTGGCCACATTGGGGTCGTCGGGTCCCAATTTTGTCTGGTAGATCTCCAGGGCTCTCTGGTAATAATATTCTACTTCTTCATATTTGCCCTGGTTCTGGCACAGTAAGGCCAGATTATTTAACTGCTTAGCAACATCAGGGTGATCCTTTCCTAGAACCTGGGAATAGAGAATGGTAAAATGGAAACATTAGCCGTGTCACCACCCTCCTGTAGGAAGGATCCTTCTAAATCATAAACATGGCCGAGTTCCACATCCAGACTTAAAAATCCTTAAATGGCTCCCATGCTACAAAACAAAAATAACCAGAGGGCAGGAAGGACTGTACTGATTTTCCTTGGCTACTGTTAAGTGCTCACATCCTGTGACAAGCCTCCCGCAGGCAAATTACTGCCCACTACACTGTGAAAACAGAGAGCTGGGCTTCACAAAGGCTTGCTTTACCTGAGCCCAAATGCTCTCCCAGCTGCTTGGGCCCTCTTCTCTAGCCTCCCTGCTCCCAAGACTCATCCTGCAGGGCCCTCTTCAGCCCCAAGGCCAGGGAGCCTTCGCCTCATCCCCACTGCCTCATCCCCACTGCCTCGGGAGCACGTCACCTGGCTGTTCTCTTCTCTCTGGGGAGTCTCATGACCCAAACCCTCTCCTCATCCTTTACTGCCAGACCCACCCAGGAAGAGACAGCCCACCATACCCTCCACCCTGTCCATCAATCCTATCACAGGACCCTGGCTAGAGAGGTGCCAGGTGCAGAAGAGTGAAGACATGCCCTGAGGCTCTCTGAACCTTGACAGCATAGTCCTCAGCTCTGTGCCTCTCGCACACAGTCCCCAGACAGCACACAACCCTGCACCCTTCACACCCCCACTTCTCCCTGCTCAGGAAACTGAACTCAACTATCCAAAATGCAGTTCAAACACTGACCTCCTCTGGAAAGCCATGCCCGGTGCCCAGCCATGCCCTAAGCCTGCCCACTCCTCTCTCACTGCTTGATCTACAGATGATGGGCCCCTGGTCCCCAGGTCTGACTAGTGGACGGTGCAACAAGGCAGGGACTCTAACCAAGCAAGGGGCTCTGAAAAAATTGAAGAGTAAATATCTGAATAAACTTGGAAGAACTTTTATTTCTTCTTTGAGACAGGGTCTCACTGTGTTGCCCAGAGCCTCCCATCTTAGCCTCCTGTGCAGCTGAGACTATGGGTGTGCATCGCCACACCCAGCTCAACTGGCAGATGATCTTATAGAGCTCCTGATCCTTGCTACCTTTGTGTGCTCTGATCTGGACCTCAGCCAACTCAACTGTCCATTTTCTTTTATAAGGTATCATGTGTTGAAAGACAAAATATTACCTACACAAGCCATGAGCTCCCTTTCACTTACTCCCCAAAGTCCTTGCCATGACTCAAAATTAAGTGAGTAATCTTTCAGCATGACTGATAAACAATCACAAAAAATGCCAAGTTAAGCTATTACTTACTCTTAGGCACCCAGGACAGGACTGACACCAGGTTCAACGCCATCTGGATGCACTCATACAGTGCTGCAGAGACCACCACAGTAGTTTCTAGTTTTAGTTTCTATTTGTTTGTTTGTTTTTAGTTTTGGGGTTTTTTTATGTGTGTGTCGTGGTAGAGACTGAAGCCAGGGGCATGCTACCACTGAGCTACACTGCCAGTCCTTTTTATTTTGAGAAAAGGACTTGCCCAGGATGGACTCGAACTTGAAAACCTCCTGCCTCAGCCTCCTGAGTTGCTGGGATTATAGTGTGCACCATCACACCCAGCACAGTTCAATATCAAGCACTATGAACTGGAGCAGCCACTAATAAATACCCATGGCAATGACCTGGCAATGACTTGGCCTCAATGACTCACTCCACTTTTTAAGCTGTAAGAGGAACATGGAGTGAACTTACTGAGAAGCACAAACACTGTTCAGTACAGCTCAGGAGCCCCTTGTCTCTGGGCCACTTGGGAGTGTGCCATCCTGAACACTCCCATAAATGGGCCTCACATTCTGACTGGGCCAACTAGGCTCTGTTGGGAAGCTATCTTTTTATTTTTTTCAGAGGGGGACTCGCTCTATTGCCCAGGCAGGTCTTGAAATCCTGGGTTCAAGGGATCCTCCTGCCCCAGCCTCCCAAGTGTTGGACTACAGAGTAAATATCTGAACCACCATGCCCACCATGCCCAGCTTATCAACCTTTATAAATGAGTTATTTTCAGTAAATGATCAGCAATGACTCATCACAGTGCTCATTTCTCAAAATTTAAAACAAAAATCTTTTCAAAACACAAAAAAACTGAATCTCAGAGAACACGAGTTCTTCATTGTTCCGCACCTTTTCTCTGATCTCCAGGGCCCTCTTACACAATGGCTCGGCCTCTTTGTACTTCCCTCGTTTACCATACAGGACAGCTAGGTTATTCAGGGTCGCAGCCACCTGCCAACATAGGAGGAGGACACAAGGACCGTAGGTAAGAGACGTCAGGAGCAGCAGCCACACACCCAGCAGACCCAGGCATGCTCCACACAGCAGCAAAGCACTCATCACTGATGGGAATGTGATTTCAGGACCACAGAACAGTGATTTGCTCACACCACTAACACACAGCACAGCAGAACACAGTTCTAAGATTAAATAAATCAACATCAACTTAACCTTGATTTTTTTCAATTTCTCCAAAAGCCACAAATAGATCTCTGCAAATCTGACCAGATTTTAATTAAAAAAAAAAAAAAAAAAAAACACAGATTCTTGAGAAACAAATCTAGAAGAGGACATGCAATTTGATTTAGGGTCAGAGAGTATGTCTGGTGAGCCAGGTGAGGGATAGTGATCCACAAATCAGGAGTGACTGGTACATGAGCACCAGAGCTTGCCTGCTGCCAGGCAGAGCCCTACCTGTGCACCTGGGAAGCGGCTCTCAGCCCTCGATGTTGAGTGTGACACTGGGTGAGCCGGACAAAAATCACACTGGGCAAAAAACAAAGTGTAAAAAGATCAAAAGAACCAGGTATACAAACCGCAGGGTGATCCTTGCCCAGCGTCTTCTCACGGATGGCCAAGGCATCATTCAGCAGATTCGCTGCATCTTTGTATTTGTTCTGATCCCTGAATCAAAAACACATCATAAGTGTCCTGATGTGGGTTACTAAACCCACCCACCTACCTACCAACATCCTTACCCACCTATCTACCCATCCACCCATCTACCTACCTACCTAATGGTGCTGGCACTAGACCCAGGGCCTGGTGCATGCCACACATGTACATGTTCTAACACTAGCTACAGCCGGTCTCCTAACTCCTTTTAAATGTAATTTTAGAACTATAGAAATTAAAGTTAAGCTCCAAATATATAATTCAATATATAGAAAAATATATATGTATATGTGTATGTATGTGTGTGCAGGTGTGTGTGTGTGCAGGTGTGTGTGTGTGTGTGTGTATATATATAGATGGATAGATATAGATATGTGTGTGTGTGTGTGTGTGTGTGTGTGTGTGTGTGTTTTGTTGTTATTGTTGTTTTTAATCTAGTTGTGACAGAAAAAGAGAAAAGTTCATGCACTGGGGCAAGGTAAGCTCTGGGTCACACCTGACCAGTTTCTGAACTTGGCCTCTCCTCTAGACCATGGAGACAACACTGCTACCTGCACTACATGGGCCAGCAGCTCCACACAGAATACCGGAGGCAGTCTAAAAAGGGTGGAGCCCACATTTGGCATGAGTAGGAATGGACTTCAACATCCAAGCCAGGCCAGCCAGCAGCATCAACACAGCTGGAGCTTGCTTGTCCAAAGGCCAGACCCACCCAGACCCACCTGGCCAGGAGCTATAGGAGCAGGGCCCAGCATAGTGGGACTTGAAGAGCCCACCAGAAATTCAGATGCAAAATGAAAACAAAGGCAGAACTATAAGCATTAAAATTCTAAGAGAAGAAATGGGCAAGTCACACAGAAATTCACAGGAGAGTATGCATGACTCAAAGAAATACCAATTAAAACAAAAAGATAGTCGACTAACACCACCCAGATAGGAGATACTGCAGCAGGAGGACAAACAGCACTGTCCCCTGAAAAGTAGTTCAGCAGTATGATTTACACGCTGGCCCATCTTAGGAATTCACTCTAAAATCACAGGGGCATCCCAATGCAATCCCAGCTACTCAGGGAGGCAAAAAACAGGGGGATCGTTATATTCAAGGCCAAGCTGGGAAGTTTAGTGAGACCTGTCTCAAAATAAAAATTTAAAAAGGGCTGGGATTGGGCTGGGGCTGTAGTTCAGTGGTAGAGCGCTTGCCTTGCAGGTGTGAGGCCCTGGATTCGATCCTCAACACCACAAAAAAATAAATGAACAAATAAAAATATTGTGTCCATCTACAATTAAAAGAAATATTAAAAAAAAAAAAAAAAGAACTGGGGTGTGGCACAGTGGTTGCATGGTGTGTGGCCCAGCACACACCATGCACCAGTCCCTGGGTTCCATCCTCAGCACCACCAAAAAAAAAAAACAAAAAACACCAAGGCTGACCCAGGTGGATAGATACTGGCAATGTCTACTCCAGCTTAGTGAGACCCTTGCCACAGAGTTCGCTAAATATTTTGTATGTAACCCCTGGCTATTTGAAGAGAAGCAGATGAAAAGATTGGAAAGTAGCTCACACAAATTTATAAAACATATTTTAAGGGGCAAGCTGATTAAAATGTTATCTCCAGATAGGCAGGGAGGCACATGTCTATAATCCCTGCAGCTTGGGAGGCTAAGGCAGGAGGATCACATGTTTGAGATCAGCCTCAGCAACTTAGTGAGGCCCTAAGCAACTTAGACCTTGTCTCAAAATGAAAAATAGAAAGGGCTAGGGATGTGACTCAGTGGTTAAATGCCTCTGGGTTCAATCTCCAGTACCAAAAAAAGTCATCTCCAGGTACAATTCAGCATAGAAACCTAAGGACTAGCCTGTACACCAGGGCCAGGATGTTGAGCATGGTGGCCACATCAGGGTGGTCATGGCCTGAAGTCTTCTCCAGATCCTCCAGGGCCTGTTTGCAGAGCGGCACAGCCACCTCATAGCGCCCCTGCGAAGCATACTGGATCACCAGGTTGTGGAGTGTGCGTAGCCGCGCCGGGATCTCGTAGCCACCTTGCTGGGCAGCAGCGGCAGCACTGCTATGCTGCTGCTGGACTGCACAGAGAAAGCACAGTTCAGAGGGCTGGCAGGACAGCTACACAGAAGGCAGTTAGTTTGACATTTTTCCACTACCTCTGATTCAAGTTAGCTCTATGCCAATTCAACCTGCAAATATCCCCTGGGCAAGATGGGAAAGAACCTCAGCCTGACAGGGACGGTGCCCTGTCCGCTGCTAATTGCATCAGACTTCCTGGCTGTAAAACTGATGGGAAGAAGTAACTCCAACCTCTTCTACCTGCAAGACCTGCAGGCCACACCTGCACCATGAGTGTACATTTGGTTCTTAGGTCCAGCCTACGCACCACCATAGCCCCAAACACCTTTAGGGGACAAAGACAATCGTGTGTGCTGAGGCTTTTGTGCTACGGCTCCCACTGACTGTCAGGAGCATCCTCAGAGAGAAAGTGGACTCCAGTAGACTACATGATGAACCACACTACTTGCCACTCACTTCCTTGGCCTGGCTCGTCCTCATCATTTGGGAAGAGATCATCTAGGGGCTCTTTGGCAGAATCGGTGTCCTTGTCCTCCTACAAAAGAGACCCAAAGCATCTCTTATTCTATAGCAGTACACATCCTGCCTGAAAATCTATAACATAAAATTCATTTAACTAAAAATCTTAGGAAAGATTGGCAGTGTTTAAGCTCACATAGACCTGCAGGCCACACCAGCCATGTGGCCCACCTATCAGTTCAACAGAACAATGAAGTGCTCGAGAGAGCAGACACCAGAACACGTAAATACAGGCCAGGGTTTGATAAGACAGACGGCTACACTTCTCTGCCTCCAATTCTTCACCTGTGCTCTAAGAAGGCTCCAGCAAAGCAGAGCAAGGCTTATTTGAAATAAAGTTTTATTTGCAAACAGACTACTATGGAGCACCTCTGATCGCCACAGCTTGAACTCTGTTTTTACCCACCACTGCAAGAGCCCAGAGAGCAGGTGGGAGCTATTGGTCTCTGCTCTGTGATCCCGCCTCCCCACAGACTGCTGGTAGTGCATCCTGGATGAGGGAACAGATACAGCTGGCCCAGGAAAGGTGTTAGCAGTCATGGGGCAGCAGACACTGCTGCTGGGAGGTGAAACCTGGTAAATTCACGTACTTTTAGAGTGTACCTCTGGGAGTACAGAATACAAACATGACACAGACCCAAACTGGCTAAAGTGGCTGGGCCGCACTAAGACACCAAGGTCACTAGAGACAAAAAATGACTAAGGGCTGCTGCAAATGAAAGAGGGCTAAAAAGTGGGGATAACAGTGTGCAACACACAGTCCCAAACTGGATCCAGGATGCAGTGACAATACGCCGGGAAGGACACTGCTGAGACAGTTAGCAGAGAGGAATCCAGGCTGCAGAGGAGAAAAAGTGCCCAGTCATGTTCGAGTGCCTGAACCAGCCCTGTCCCTGGGCTTCTACGGGAGAATAGCCTCACTAGGGAACTGCACCCAGAAGCAGCAAGGGGCAGCACATGAGGTGCCTGCCTCCTACCCCAAAGGTTCAGAAGGAACAATAGCTCATGAGAGTCAGCTCTAAACTTGTCTTCTCCAAGTCTGAATTTTTTTCAAAATAAAGAGCTTAAAAATCTTTGAGAAGCCCCCTTCTTAACACTCTGCAGTGTTGCAGGTAAATCACTGGCTGACACCATGAACTCTTATTCCCATAGCAGTCTAAGGGGGATAGAGTAAGTCTAACAAATCAGAATGATATCACCTCAACAATTTCTCCTGGGGACTAGAGCTAGATGAGCCAAAGTGTGAGGCTCGTGATACAACGCGTGTCCTCATGAGAAAAGGACCCAGTGAGTTGGTTTATATGTATTCTTTCCACCCCACCATGCAAGGGCAAGCAAGAAGGTAACTGCAAGCCAGGAAGAGAGCCCTGATCTCAGATTCCCACCTCCTGTGGTATTTTGTCATGGTGACCCAAGTAGAAGGCAAGTGCAGGTTTGCTGGTGTTCCACACAAGGATGCCCCAGGGGTCTTAGGACAAGGTTCCAACTAGGGACACCAATGTGGAACTCACTGTACACTGATCATGCATGTGACTATGTCTGGCACCCAGAGAGGCATAAAATAAAATCCATTTCCAAATACTCTGTAAAGTCCTAGAGGTAGGATCCTAGAACAGAGAGGGTCCACTACTGGAAGGACTGACAACATTCCAATAAAGTCTACAGTTTAGTCAAAAGTAGCATATCAATGTTAATTTCTTGGTTTTGAAAAACAAATGCTGGGGCTGGAGTTGGAGCTCAGTGATAAAGCGCTTGCCTCACATCTATGAGGCACTGGATTCGACCCTCAGCACCAAATAAAAATAAATAAAGCTATTATATATTCATCTACAACTAGATAAATATTTTTTTTAAAAAAAAAAGAAAAATAAAATGTATGCTGATGTAAGATGTCAAGGTTGGAGAGAACTAAGTAAAGGGGATTTGGGAATTCTCTTCACTGTCTTCAACTTTTCTCCCAATCTAACATATTATTCTAAAATAAAAAAGAAGCTAACTGAATCAGATTTAATAAATGGTGGAAGAAAAATAATTGAGAGTCGGATGAATTCTCAAAGAGAGCCAACATAAAAAGAAACAACAAGACCTCTGAGGCACCCTGACATTCCAGGAAGGGAAAGGTGAGCTGGCTAGGGAGGCCTAGGAGGCACAAGAGAGGCAGCAGGAAGACCTGGCAGTGTCCTAGGCAGGCATCAAGGATGAGGTCAAAGACGAGGTCAAGGACAAGCCCAGAGTTGGACTTCAGATGGTGGTACTGGCCCTGCTGCCCCAGCAGCCAGTGGGTATGGAAGCCAGCCCATGAGGGCAGGGAATGTCAGGAGCAGTGGAGCAGAACTTGGTGATGAGAGGCCTGGTATTGACAAAACGTCCTTTACACCTTCTGATCATTGTTCTAAAAACACACAAGAAAGACACGATAGGACATCTACCCCTTGCTGAGCCTCCCCTTGCTGAGCCTCCCCGTGCTGAGCCTCCATTCGCAGCCCCCAGCTATACTGCACATCAGCACCATCTCATGATGGAGCCACTCACTCACCGAGGGGGAAATGTCATCGTCATACTTTTTGAGCTGGTTCATAAATTCCAGGTGTTTCTTTTCTTCCTCCAGCTGAGCCACGGACTGCTCACTCTTCTGTAACTTCTGTTGTGTGTTGGCCAGCTCATCCCGCAGCCACTGATTCTCCTGGCACAGGCGACGAACCTGCGCACGTAGTTTCTGTTTCTCTGACTCAACAGCATTTAGGTGATTTGACAAGGCCATCATAACCTGGACAGAAGAAATACTATCGGACAACAGCCAACAAGAGCCCCTCCTATCCACTTGAGCACCTGAGAGCAGCTCTAACTGACACCTGCAGGTATCTCCTTCAATTCACATGCAATTCAGCCACAGACAACACTCCGGAGTCTATGGAAAGTTATCACGTGCTCACATTTACAAAATACACCAATTCTTTTTACATGAGAGCACCTCAAGGTGATTATCAATAGGCACACATCTACTCTCTTGACACAGCTGCAATCTACCTCCACATGGGCACTTTCCACATGAAAGCGGGTGTCCCAAGCACAGGTAAGTGAGGGGCTGGTGGTAGAATCAGGAAGGGGGGCATTAGACCTCCTTCCACATATGGGAGGAGTTTCTAGCCACCACAGAGCATCAGAAGGCACCAGCATGTTCACTAGCTTATGTTTGCTGCACAATCTGCTGGCTGCTCCAGATCTCTGCCAGCTGTGTACTCACTGGCACCTGGGAGCAGACCTACCTAAAGCTGTTCTGAGCAAGCTGCAAGGAACATAAAGGCAAAAAAGGGGTGAGAAGCCAGGCACAGCAGTGCATACCCATGATCCCAGTCACATGGGAGGCTGAGACAGAAGGATTGCAAGTTCAAGGCCAGCCTGGGCAACTCAGCAAGACCCCATCTCAAAAACTAAAAGGGCTGGGAATATAGCCCAATGGTAGAGCACCCCTGGGTTCAATCCCCAGTACCAAGGGAAAAGAAAGAAAGAAAAAAAAAAGCAGGAAGTCAACTGGCCTCAGCCTAGTCCCTCTGCAGATCGTGCCCCTCTCCTGTGCCAGCACAGAAACTACATTACTTCTATGTCTACAACTTGAAACTCAAAGGGGGAAGCTGAGGTGAGAGTATCCCAAGTGTGAAGTGAGCCTCAGCAATTGGTGAGACCCTATCCCAAAATTTAAAAATAAGTAAAAAGGACTGGGGATGCAGCTTAGTAGTAAAGTACCCCGAATTCAATTCCCAGTAAATTCATTCATCCACTCAAAACTCCAGGAGGTGGGCTTTTAGTTCCTCTCCTTCCAGCCATCCTAGTACTGAGGACTGAACCCAGCGGCACTCTATCAATGAGCCACATCCCCAGCCCTTTTTATTTTTTGAGACAGGATCTCACTAAGTTGCTGAGTCTGGCCTCAAAATTGTGATCTCTCCCCCTCAGCCTCCTGAATTGCTGGGATTACAGGTGTGAGCCACTGTGCCTAGCTTCTTCCTATTTTTTTAAACCTACCATCTGCCAAACTAAAAAAAAGGAAGCTCATGTTCACACTATCTTTCAACAACAGAACTTGGGAAATAACAGGGTCACAAAATCCAAAGTTCATGATCTACAACCAGCATTTGTACAGGGTGGGAATGAAGAACTCTAAAATTGGGGCCTAGATGGTCACTGAAGAACCGGTGGCTCAGCAGCTACTCTTGTGCACCATTCCTTCATTATGCACACAAAAAGCCGAGAGAGAGCCAAGTTTCAGTGTACTGACTTTAACCTCAGATCTGCTGACAAAGCCAGAAGCTGTCAGGGGTGGGGAAGCGACCAAGACATTTCCAGTGTTTTCATGTCTGTGTGGCACATGACAGAAACAGACCTTTAATCAGATACATAAAGCAATCTGGCCTGGCTACTGCAGAGCCTACTGGCTGTTGACCAGCATCCACTCTCCCCCAGCTTCTTGGGCTCATGCACCTGGAACTGTAAGACAACATTCCCCAGTCCCTCACAGCCAGGGCAGCCACAGAGAGAGGATCTGGCCAATGCACCGTGAGCAGTATTGCACATGCTTTAAGGGACAGCCTTGAAGGAGGTAGCACGTCCCTCCTCTCACTTCTGCTGTCTTCGAACAAGATCATGTGGCTGCCACTGGAGTTCCACCTAGTCCCTGAGATGGCTGCCAACTTGTAGTGAAGCAGGTGGCAGCAGCCTGAGCATCCCTGATGACAGGGCAGCGGCAAAGACCACCTAGGACAGCCTACCTGGTGCTCATTTCATCCATGTCTTTGTTGCTTAAGCTATTGTTTTTGTTGTTTGACACAGGATACCAAATCAAACCCTAAATGATACACAGAGATACCGCCATGTAAAATTCAAGTATGCTAAAGTGAGTTTTCATTTATATGATAGACACACCTCGACACAAGTAGATCTCTAATATTCTATAGGCATCTTCTCTCTACTTGAGTTAAACTGCCTATTTCAAGACTCCACTTTTCCAAACCATCAAGCCCACTTTCACGACAAATGGCTCTTCCACTTACCTGCGCCTCACTCAGGCCGAGCTCTAGCATCTCCAGTGATTTCCGTATCATGTTGGATTTCTCCTCCACCAGGTTGCTCTCATCATCTTTCTTCAAACACTTCAGTGTTTCCAGCAAACTCTGCAAAATGGAGTTGTGCTCATTCTTCAAAGCCTCCAGGCCCTGAATTACTTGCTTGGTCTTGGAGATGATCTCATCCTGTGTAAGCTTCTCCAACTTGTCTTCCTTTATGTACACCATTGTGGACATGTTGTCATACATTCTAGAGGAAAACAGGAGAATCAAATACCTTGTTATAGGCTTCCCTCCTGTGATAGCATTAAACAGAAACACTTGTGAAAACTTTTAAATTACATTTCATAGGTAAATAATACCTGTGCAATTTATGATTTTGAATACCATGTTCTATATTGTTTCTGTTTTGCCTTTGCAGGCCCATTAAATTACTTTTCTGGTTTAATGCCCGAGTTCTTTTTTATGGATAAGTAACTAAAATTAACACCAAAGATTAAAAGCAGCAAAACATCCAAAGGTCATTTCCAAAACATACAATTTCAGTGAACATTTTATCTGAATATTTGCAAGCTTTATTTTCTCAATGAAATGTAGTCCAAGAAGAAAACCCAGTAGAGGCACAAGGGGGAGTTAGAGGGGCTGGAGAGGACTAGACCATGAGGCCTAAGACCCAGTGATGCAGCAGAATAGTCCATGTGGCCATGACCAAGGAGGACAAAGTCCAGGGGCTAAAGTGACTCCATGTTAGGGCTGCCATGACACCACCACTGTGAGAAAGAAAGAAGGAAGGAAGGAAGGAAAGGGCACTGAAATGGAATCAGCCAAGTGCTGGTAACTACTAGCACTAAGCAACAGTGCCTTTTACAGTCTTCTCTAGTTCTGTCTTCAATCTCATAATAAAGCTTAAAAACTGGGTCACATTAAGACCATTTCTGCACAGTAGCAAGGGGCACAGAGGTCAGGTTATCCATCCAAAACAGGTCCTTTGTGCCACCTGCCACTTTCTGAGATGTCAGTGTCTTCACAAACTATCTTACAGCCCCAGAACAGACACTGTTACAAATGAGAGGAGGAGGCCGGGGTTTGGCTCAGGGAACAATGCTTGCTGGATGTGAACCTTATACCCTACAGAATGCACAGCACCTAGGACAGCTCCTGGCCCAGGCATCATCAGAAAAATGGACAGATGTAAGTTGAGTGAAGGAAAGAAGGGGAAGTAGTGGGTGCAGACCACACATGCACAAGTTTGGGGTGCAAGCTGAAGGTGTTTGAGAACAGGACCATGTGAGCCTCTGCATCACCAATTTATTTCACACTGGAAAAATGATTTTTTTTTAATTAATAAGACAATTCCTTTTGACACTGGGAGGCTACCTGCAGGACTATTCAGAAATCTATTTCCTCCACAGTAACAAGAGCCCACAGAACAATGAAGGAACAAGGGCAAGCCTTCTCCCTAGCAGCGCATCATCTGTTATTATTTTTAGTGTATAGATACTCAGCATATGGTTTTCCTACTTCACTGTAGCCAAGTACCAGGCTGGACTATAGCACCCTGCTGGGCAGTGCTACAGCTCCCAGGAACAGGGGCCTGTCTGTCCTGTGCAATGTACATTACCAGCCTACCACATGGCATGCCTGTGCTAAATGACTGCAGGAGACAGTTTAGAATTGTTGGGCTTTTTGTTTATTTTGGTTTGGTTTGGTTTGGGTGCTGGGGATTAAACCCAGGGGCACCCTACCACTGAGCTACATCTCTGGCCCTTTTTAAAATTTTACTAAATTGCCCAGGCTGGCCTTGAACTTGTGATCCTCCTGCCTCGGCCTTCCAAATCTCTGGGATCACAAGCAAGTGCCATAGCACCCAGTTAGGATCAGTTTTCAATGAAATCACACTGCACTAGATTAATAAAATGCTTATCTGACATCTCTAAGGTTCCTTATATTGAAAGGAAGGGGTCTCCAGGATTCATGTCCATGAAGAAGAAAAATAAAAATCAAGTCCGCCTTCTCCGCCTTTTTCTATCCTTGGCAGCACATCCCTGGTGAAAAACAGCTGGATTTCTGTAGACATACTTGCTACAACTGAGCTTGTTGAACTGATCCAATATTTAGTTACAAAATTATTCCTTTTCCTGAATTACAATATCCCTCCTTGTAACTTCTGTCCATTGAGCCAACTTCTTCCCTCTAAAATAAACACAAAACATTTTCTGCCTCATCCATATAACATTTCAAGTATTACAATGCAGAAACAGATATTACCAAGACTTTCATCTCCCAAGCTCACACCTCTTACCGCCCTCAGGTCAGAACCATTTCCATATCTTTCATCCAAGTCACCATGATGTAAACGTACATTCATGCTACGTTTATGGGAGGAAGACAGTGGCATATACATTTATACTGCTTGATATCTCTTGTTTCTGAGCCATTATAACCAAAGGTAGGTCACATGATTGTTAATCAGCTTTTTGTGACTGTGACAAGTATCTAAGAAAAACAACTTAGAAAAGATTTATTTTGGCTCAGGGTTTCAGAAGTTTTAGTCCATGGTCAGCTGGCTCCAAGGCAAAAACATCCAGACAGAAGGGCATGGCAGAAGAAAGCTGCTCAGTTCATGGCAGACACAAAGCAGAGACAGAAAGCTAGACAGACACTGAAGAAGGGAACACGAACAAGATATAGTCCCCAAAGGTATGCCCCCAGTGACCTACTTCCTCCAACCATGTCCCACCTACCCAGTTTTCACCTCCTCCCAGTTATCCATTCAAATTATTAATCCAGCTGGGGACTATAGTGCACCCCTGTAATCCCAGCAACTCAGGACGCTGATTACAAATTCTAGGCAAACATAAGCAACTTAACAAGACCCTGTCTCAAAATTAATATATTAGAAAAGGGTTGGAGGTATAGTTCAGTGGTATAAATACCCCTGGGCACAATGCCCAGTACTGCAAAATAACAACAACAACATTTAACCACCCATTAAATGAATTAATTCACTGAAGAAATCAAAGCCCTTACAATCCAATTATTTCCTAAAAGTCCTACTCTGGACACTATCATACTAGGGACTAAGTCTTCAACCCAAGAGATTGTGAGAGACGTCCATATCCAACCCATAACAATGATAAATAATACTAAGGCAATTAGCTATTAGAATAAAATTAAGGGAGCTGGGCATGCAGCTGTAGTCCCAGCCATGAGAGGCTGAGAAGGGAAGACTGCTTCAGCTCACCAGTATGAGGCCAGCAAAACAATATAGCAAGACCCCATCTTAAGAATAAAGAAAGAGGTTTGGGGTTGTGGCTCGGTGGTAGAGTGCTTGCCTAGCTTGTGTGAGGCACTGGGTTCAATTCTCAGCGATAGATAGATTCATCCATCAACAACTAAAAACTATATAAAAAGAAAGAAAGAAAAAAGGGCTGAAGCTATAGCTCTGTGGCAAAGCGCTCGTCTAGCATGCATGGGGCACTGGGTTCAATCCTCAGCACCACATAAAAATAAATAAAGGTATTGTGTCCATCTACAATCACATATACAAAAATTTTTTTAATAAAAAAAAGAGAAAAAAAATATTTTACCCTCCCTATACACTAAATTAAACTCTAAATTTTTGATTAAAAAAAATTAAATGTGGGAGTTTGTTTGCAGTACAGACTGACCCAAGGCCTTATACATGCTAGGCAAGCACTCTACCACTGAGCTATACTCCCAGCCCTAAATGTGCTTTTTCTAAAAACACACAAGAAACTAGAAGAAAATACAGGCAAAGGTCTATATGCACATAGGTCAAAGTACATCACATTTGCCAGGCATGGTGGCACATGCTATAATACCAGCAGCTGCAACTTATCGAGACCCTGTCTCTAAATAAAATGTAAAAAAGGGCTGGGGATATAGCTCAGTGCTTAAGCGCTCCTGGGTTCAATCCTTGATACAAAAAAAAAAAAGTAAAGCACATTCTGTGAATAAAAGCAACTGCAAAAAACTGAAAGACTGATAAGAGTCTACTCAAATTTAATATAGAAACGAAACCTGTTTCTGAGAGAACACTATTTTGCAGCCCATCACAGTGAAGAGTCCAAAACTGCACAGACTGTGACTCAAGGCTAAGGCACAGCTGGCTGACCTCTGAAAGCTCCCCAGAAGCCTTCGTCACACTCACATAGCCTGCCTGCTTTCCTGATCTACAAACCACACAATCCTGTACCTGTTTTCAACTTCTGATGTGTATGCCTCCAGACGATTCGGTAAGACAAAGAAGCAACCAGAGCCATGCCATAAAGATATGTTTAGTGAACGAGGGAAGCTGCTTCAGAGGCTATGTGTCCACCTCCCACATGACTGCAGAGCTTTCACCTCCTGGATATTAGGTGGCATTGATGCTCCCCCTGATCTGCAATATACTATAGGCTTAAAATATTCCCACGCCCTCTTCTCCAAGTAAAGTACAAAATATCTAGTCCCGAGTTATTAATTAACCATGGTGAATTTTTTTTAATATTTATTTTTAGTTGTAGTTGGGCACAATATCTTTATCCCTCTGATTTATTTTTTTAATATTTTTTTAGCTATAGTTGGATATAATACCTTTATTTTATTTATTTTTATGTGATGCTGAGGATCAAACCCAGCATCTTGCACATACTAGGCGAGCACTCTACCTCTGAGCCACAACCCCAGCCCTCCCTCTGATTATTTTTATGTGGTGCTAGGGATCAGACCCAGGGCCTCACCTGTTCTAGGCAAGCGCTCTACCACTGAGCCACAACCCTAGCCCACCATGGTGAATTTTTTTATTGTGTTTTTATTCCCAAAGATAAACAAACTCCTTAAAGTCAATTATTTGCTCTGTGAGAGCAAAAGAATTTAATGCAAAATGTCCAGTGTAGAATCTGAGAAACTATATGAATCAAATCTCTAAAAGTCATTGTTCAACAGGCTAAGATCTGGGACAAATTAAAGCCCTGGCTCCATGAAGTCAAGGAATTGCATACAGTGTCAGTAGATCACACTTAAAATAATGAAGGTGAAAATACACCTGAGACAATCATTACTTTTATCTCATTTTATTTTTTTAAGAGAGAGAAAGAGAATTTTTTCAATATTTATTTTTCAGTTTTTGGTGGACACAACATCTTTATTTTATTTGTATATTGAGGTGAAGATCGAACCCAGCGCCTCACGCATGCCAGGTGAGCACGTTACTGCTTGAGCCACATCCCCAGCCCCTTTTATCTC